TACTTTTTTTTTCCCCCCTGAAGCCCTCTGTCCTCCTGCTGCAATGAGAACCGGCTGCTTTTCAGCTTGTGGTACAGTTGTCATCCCTAGACTCTGCTTTGGTGCTTCTGAGCTGGATCCTCTGTTTACCAAAGCCCCTTTCTTTTCTTTTATGGTTTATCCTCTTACTTTGTTAGGGCACACGGTCTAGTAATTTCCTAAGAAATGTTGAATGGATACATATTTTTTGTTGTCCTTGAAGGTCTTTCTTTCCTCTTCTTGCACTTGACTGATGGTTTGGCTGGATACAGAACTCTAGGCTGAACATAGAACTTGTAAAGTGCTGTTCCTCCATCTTCCATCTTTAATTCTTAGATGCTGAGAAGTTAGATGTCATTTATATTCCTAATCCCTAAGTGATCCCGAAAGCTTTTGAGACATTCTCATTATTTCTGGAGTTCTTAAAGAAATTTTGTAATAACTGCCTGGTATTGGTCTGTTCCTTGTGCTTGGCACTATATAGCTCTCTTCAATCTGGAAACTCAGATCCTAAATAAATTTTCTGAACTATGCCTATATAGGGTATATACCTCTGGTGTGTATATGTATGTGGTAAAACATTTTGTCCTCTGATAGACACGGCTACTAAGAAAATCAGCTTTGGAATCTGACAGACTGGACGCGACCCTCAGCTCACTACTTACCAGCTGCGGCACTTGGGGAAGTTACCTCTTTTAAACCATATATGAAATGGGGACAGGTTAACTCTAGAGATTTTTAATAAAATGATACATGTAAACTGCTTATACAGCAGCAACCCATGTATGTAAATAAATGTCCAAATGTTACCTATTATTAAAATATCAAAAACTAGATTGGTGCAGATACTATAAACACTGTCAAATCCATCAAGGCTCTGCTATTTAAGGAAGTAAGACTAACAAAAGAAGTGGGAGGCAGCCAACGGGTATAGGGTTTTCTTTTGGGGTGATAAAAATGTTTTGGGACTTGAGAGAGGTGGTGGTTACAAAATATTGGGAAGGTACTAAATATCACTGAATTGTTCACTTTAAAATGACTAATCTTATGTTACATAATTTTTGCCTCAATAAAGAAAAAAAGGAAGCAGGAAAAAGAAAGGCAGTATGAAGGAAGAAGTCAAAAGTTGTTGAAAAGGGAGAATGGAATTGATACTCTTTCCTCTAAATTACTGTGAAACTTTCCTCTACATACTTTCTTTTTAATTCTTTGAACTGAATAGCCAATAAGGATAATGTTGGGAAGACAAACACTTCTTTTTTTATCGCATATCAACATATAAATAAGGTTGATTAAGAGATCGACATATAACTAAGAGATGATTATTTGAAATTTCTTTGGGAAGAAAATGTATAAAACAGGAAAGCTGGAGGATGTGTATACATATACATATGAAAAAAAGCTGATAGTAGAGAAGACAATGGATTAAGTCTTTTTTTTTTTTTTTAATCACTATATATCAGAACACTTAGCTCTAAGCATTTCCTTACAACAAATACGGGAATCTACCCGCATCTAAAATCTTTTCAATAAAAGGGGAAGTAAATTACTTCCTACTGATTTCAGACTAGGGGGAAATATTGTTATATGCATCTTTTTTCATTTTCAACATTTCCCAAAAGAAACACTGTTTAGAGAGATGTTATTTAATACAGTACAAAAGAAAAGAGAGAAGGGGGAAGGAAGGCAGGGGAAGAGAAAGAAAAAAAGGAAAAGAAAGCAGCATATTCGAATTTCACTCTTGGGAGATTTACAAGGCATAGTAGTGTATTAAAGGTTCTGCAGTAAGAAAGCCAGCTCACCTCTCTTAAACCTACATTTGTCTGATTTATTAAGTACAGAACAGTTCTTAAGCTATGTCTGTTAAACACATAATACATCATTTTGTTAAAGACTGCTTAGATTTATACCAGATAACATATAAATTAGGGTAACTTCAATATTAGCCCGAGGGATAAGATTACCACACATATCCAAGAATAATCAATTATCTGAATAAAACATTGTTTCAAATTACCAGCTGGTCAGAGCAAGAGTTTAGTGGCAGTAAAGGAGGGGGAGAGAAGGTGGGAATAAGCGGAAAAGAAGAAAAAACAATCTGGTAAGAGTTAGCTCTTCAACTTCCCTTGTTGAGACGTCCTTGTCCTGCCCTGTCAATTCTGATTATTAAACCAAACATCTGCAGTTAAGGTAGTAAAAAATTCCAGCTTGGTTCACTTCTCCCCCACTTTTTATTTTACATTAATTCCTAATCCTAGGAGGAAACCTCAAAAGGAGAAGTTAAATATTTGTCACTTGAGTACCTCCAGTATAAAATTTCACGTTGCCATAACAACCCATATCCCAAAACAGTTAAATACTACATAATTTAAGCAATAAAACATTTGCAATTCCAGTTTCTTTTACTCAGAGGAAAGATGTACAACACCAACAAAATCTGAACCTGGCACAGGATTTCTTGTTTGGGGGAAAATCATAGAAAAAAACATGGATTTAGAGAAGAAAAGATAATTTTAAATATTCTTTAGATATCCCAATAGGGCAAAGGAAAATCCAAATGGAAATATATTTAAGAGAAAATTTGTAAGAAAATAAAGACACACTTTTAGGAATCACTACTGATAATTACGACTGTCTCTAATATTGTGGGAACCAATCATGGAAATCAATCATTTAGGTACTAGAGACAGCCAATCCCTTGGAGATGTTAATCCTCACAGGCAAATTACTTGGAAGTTATTTCACTTCATGGGGAAAAAGCTACAGCTACCTTCCCGGTCACTGTTCGTCCTTTTTCTCATAAAAGCAGCGGAGTGGAATTAGCAACTGCAGCAAACAAAAGCCTCCCTAAGCCCTATATCCTCCCAGTCAAAAAACGGGGGAGGGCAAGACAAACCAGGCACCACACAGCTATTCTTCATTATTTACATGCTACTACCATTGCCATTACCAGAGGGGTGACAAGTGCTAAAGCAACTATTGGCTAAATAACCAACCATACACATAAATCTCTTTTAAGGAATAACAGATTTGAAAAAGACAAAAGCTAGATAAAATAAACTAGATACATTAAAGCAGATAAAATAAACTTCAACCTTGGTTACTGATTACAAATTAAATGTGTGAATCTTAATTCAGTGGCATAAAGGTAGGAGTTACAAAGTCAGAAGATGAAAGATCAAAACACTCGCAGCACAGTGTTTTCTTGGTGAAATTATTACAATCTAAGGTCTGAAAATGAAATGTGTAGACCCAGAAACCAAACTTTATCAGTAACTTAGGATGATTAGTCAGCTTCAGTGACTTATTCACAGTCGAACGAGAGCAAAGAGAAGAAGCAATGCAAAACTAGCACCCCAGGTAAATTTACCACAAGGAGGCCCTTACAGTGACCAGAAACCTGTCCTCTACCCAGAGTATTCATACTCTTTTTCCACATGAGTACTAATCTGATTTGGTTGAATTAGTACTTGGTTGAATACAGAATTATACAGTAGTAATATAAAACAGATCAACCTGAAGATATCTCATCTAGGTCACAAGGAGGCTTAATAAACACTCCTGCACTACAGGAGAGAAGACATGTCTGGTGACTGCACTGCTCATTTTCCAGATTCTCCATCTCTCTCGATGCAAAATTTACACCCGTCATTCTGTTTTCCATCACCCACTGCATTTTCTGTAGATGTGTATTATCACTGACTAAGTCGTATCAAGCTGTTGCTCTTGTGGATCTGTGATGTTTCGCATCCTTCCAACTGTGTCCTGCCCAACCATGAGAAGACACATTTATTTCCCTATTTTCAAGTTCTTAAATAGTACTTCTGACAGCTCCATGTACCTATAATTGTAATAGAAACTATAAAGAAGTAGTTTGGTTTTTCTGTACTTTTTGTACATACTGATACTGATTTAATAATTCTGAACAGAATATAAACACTACAACAGTCCAACAGGACACAAGTCAATACTGCAAAATGTAAATATATACATCGATTCAAGGCAAATGGCTAAAAATTAACCACTTAGAAAAACAACTTATGGCTAAGCTCATATAAGGACACAGATAGGCTCATATACTTAGACAACTATTATAAAAGGATTCTACATCTGCATACTGCTTTACAAAGTGCTCTCCCACTCATGATAACATTAATTCTCATCAAATATTTAAATTCAAAGTCTCCAAGAAAGAGATTTCTGTAAGAGGATAAAGGAAATAATCCAAAATTTTAAACTTTAAAAGCCATTAAATTTTCTACTGACGTTTACAGTTAATTTTTCATACATATATATTTTTGCTTTGAAATGAGAAAATATATTAAGACTATATAAGAGACACAAATTCCTTCTCTCATAAAATATATCATGCACTCTTAGGTTATACATGTATTAAAATTATTTAAATCAGCCTTGAGAAATACAGTTTTGAGTTGAATAATAATTACACTTAGAAAATTATGCAAGTTTATAAAAGAGACAAAGTCAGGCTTTGGTTTGCCCAGCGATTCCTGTCCAGATCCTCTGGTACCAAATACCTCCTCAAATGCTTAGTATACTTATGCCCCATTATAAACTGTTCTATGTAAAAAATAGATGGTTATCAGTTATCTCTACCTTAGGATGAATAAGTTTAAGTGAATGAATCCACTTGAGGATCTAAACCTAATCCCCAATTGTGAAATAAAAGACAAAAACCATAGTGTAACGGAATCCAGGAATTAACCTGGTAAGAAGCATTAAAAGGAGTCCATGATATCCTGTCACATACACCTGATCATGTCAAAGGTTAGTTCTTATCAAATGAGTTGTATCCCACTGAGGTCCATTAAACAAACAAAAAGCAGTTATAGAGCACCAACATAATAAAAACAGAGTTTACATGACAAAGCACATCATTTTCTAAGATTTAGAAGTCTTCTCTAAATGAAAATACAGCATGAATACATCAATATTTGAAACAGAAAATTAAGAGTTCTTACCTTACTACATCATCAATATTGTTCCTGTATACGCCTTCAAGTCTTTCTGCAGGAAACCCCATAGCAATAATGTTGGGATAAATATCTGAGTACTTAAGTTAAGGAAATATCTGAAATATACAACAATGCAAACTACATGTACATGTTGTAAAACATCAGCTGATTATAAAAATCACTATACCTATGCTAGTAAAAGGTTGTCAAATGTATTTTTTATAAACTATCATGTGTAATTAAGAAACACAGGTAAATACATTAATTCCAAAAAAAAAGTCCTCAAAATAATTATATGGCAAAATAATTTTCAAATCCCTCTACCTAGTACATTAAAAGGGCCCTTAAGGAAAAAAGTAACTTCCACGTTTACAGTATTTAGGCATGTATACATGAAAGACCAAAACCAGACTTTATAAATCAGAACTGAAGTTACCTTGGGACAAAAACCAAGTATCAAAATAAAAACAAAAACAGCTACACAACTTCTCATTTCTCATGGTTACAAAAGGCACCACAGCACAGAGAAAAGTAGATACAATCAACAATTAGGAAGCCAGATTTAAGACCTGGCTATGCCTCCATCCAGTTGTATAATTTGGACACGTGACTTAACCTTTTCAGGCTTCAATTTCCTATTCCACACAATCAGGTTGAGACAACCACAGTGATCGCTTCCAAGTCCTTGGTATTTGTGACTTGGTAATACTGAACTTAGAAACTTATTCTCATTTACCATCAAGGTGGTCAACATTTAGCATGCCATTCTATTCACTTATGTTACACACTATAGTTGGCATAAAAACAAACTTCTGTGCTCCAGAAGAATCTGTATCAAACTAACAACAACAACAACAACAACAAAAAAAACCCACAAGAAAACCACAAAAAAACCACCAACCAATCTACATTTCTATGCATTTGTCGACCATGGCAGCGCTCATTTCTTCTTGAGCGCCATTATTCCTTTCTCTAATCTCATGATTTTTCTGACATGGACCTTCCAAAAACAGCCAAGCTAATCTGCCTCAAGCCTCCCTTCAACACCATCCCTGAAGTTCTCTGCCTGCCTACTCCTGGACACCATTCGTTCTTCAAGGACAATCCAAAATTCACCAAATCCAGTGCCTTTTTCTAGATCTTTTTTCTTCACTTTCTGCTGCTTTCACATTATTGAGTTGATTTCAGTATTATTTTCAATCCAAAAATAATTATCAAGTTACTAAAAGCTTTTATTTCAGAATTATTTTTTTAAATGGTTTTATCCATAGTTTTACCACACAATGATTGGACAGACCTAAACATATTTTAAGAAAAAAAAAAAAACCACAGGGGTGCCTGGGTGGCTCAGTCTTAACAAATTGCCTCGGCCTTTGGTTCAAGTCATGATCCCAGGGTTCTGAGATTGAGCCCCGCGTCAGGCTCCCTGCTCAGTGGGGAGTCTGCTTCTCCCTCTCCCTCTGTCCTGCTCATGCTCTTTCTCTCTCTCAGTCTCAATCTCTCTCTCTCAAATAAATAAAATTTAAAAAATAAAAATAAAAACATCTAATAAAAAAAATAGACCACACACAACAGCATATACAGTATGCTGCTACCTTTTGTATAAAAAGATATTTTTTTTGGATAAAATAACATTTACCCATATATTTGCTTGAATTTGAACTTCTCAACACACACGTGCAGTCGCACACACAATGATAACTGAGAAACTAATAAAAATGTTTGCTAAATAGAGAAGGGGTGGCGAAGGGAAGAAACATACACTAAAAACAGCAACAAATAAACCCAATTAATTATCAAATTGATAACCAGGAAATAGGGTTTATTTCCCTGGTGTTATTTGGACACTGCAGTTTACTGTACTTCTTGGTAGGAAGCACTCTAAGAACAAAAAGAACTACAAAGAGGGGCGCCTGGATGGCTCAGTTGGTTACGCATCTACCTTCAGCTCAGGTCATGATCTCGGGGACCTGGGATCTAGCCCTGTACTGGGCTCCCCGCTGCTCAGCAGGGAAGTCTGCTTCTTCCCCCCCACCCCCACTTGTGCTCTCTCTCATGCTCACTCACTCTTTCAAATAAATAAAATCTTTAAAAAAAAGAAAAAAGTACTACAAAGAAATTTTAAACTTCTTCTGAGAGTTCATTTTTACTAATATCAGTACTGATATCCTCAAGCTTTTTTCTTTATATTGTAGAAAAAAACAATAAAACTTTACCAATGATTTTAAGATTCATGATTACAGGTATAAAATCAAGAAATCAAATAAAAACATTAATTAAAAATATTAATATGAACTCATGTTTACAAAAATCTATGTTCTCTAGGTCTTTTCACTGAAATGGCCTAAAAGCATATCAATCTGAGCAGCAAACAATCCTGGGATGGACCCAGATTTCATCTCTAATATGTAATACATTAAAAGGTACTTAACTCCTTAGAACAACAGTTGGTGCCAGGTCTGGGGCAGGAAGGTACAAGATGAGTCTGGGATATCTTTTTGCGCCAGAAGACAAGGAAGGTATTCAGAGATTAATGGTCTTTATCAGACAGATACAGGAGCTAAAATGAAGGACATCCCAGGGCCTAAAGTTGTTAACAATCTGAGTATCAAAGAAAAAGTGTAAATGGTAGTAAATTAAAATACCCTAAATAAAATTAAAACCCTTGAGTCTATATAAAGACACTAAAAAACAAAAACAAAATATTTTTCATTTATCACCTTTTGAAGTGGCTATTAGTTCTTTCTTTACTTTGAAAGTAGGTTAAGGGGGAAATTAAGTATTTACGCTACTTTTCTGAAGGTTCTGTATTTCAGGGCAACCAAATAGCCCCATTTCATACAGTAAAAGATCTACTTTACAGAAAAACACCAGTTAATAAACACAAAAGAACAGAACTTTAAAAATCATATTTTGCAAACCCTAATACATTTATTGATTTATGCAAGGATCAACAATTGGTTCTAAACCAACAGATGAGTGGATGATGAAGAACTGAACTTTCTTAGAGAGCCAAAGTAACACCACACAAAATACTTTCTGATGTAAGGAAACCAATATAATTGAACAGCAGGCAGAAAAGAGCGCCACCACTCAATTTCAGTGGTCAATCTAAGCATCACCAAGGAAGTTAAGTAGAGATCCTATAACTTCCGATGTGATACAATATGAAGGACATAGCATCATCTATGATAGCCAAGGTATCTTCAACCTGAGAATCCACCAACTATTTAGATATAAGTTTTAATTTACAGTAAATACAAGAGACAGAAAAAGAAGCTAAATGACATGAGAATAAACTGGACAAATTCAAAAGGTCTGAAGCACTTGACCCAGTCTCTGCTCAAATGTCTTTTTAAAAGGCAAGGAGAGGAGGGATGGGTAGCTAATCTTGATTTAAGAAGACTTAAGGGTTCTAAGAGCCAAGTTCATAGGTACAATGCTATCATACAGGATATTGTTCTAAACAAACCAGCCATAAGGAACATTTTTGAGCCAACCAGAGAAATTTGAATATGATCTGGGCATTATATGAGATGAAAATTTACTGAAATGGAAAAGCAGACATTATTGACTAAAAAAAAAAAGGTTTCAAGAGAGAATACACAGCATTATGCCATACTGACCTAAGAATGCATATATACCCATTTGCATACATGTAGACAAAAAGATTACAAACTAAGGTGCTAAAAGTAATCATCTCTAAGTGGTGGGAATATGTATTTTTCTCATTTTTGTTTTATATTTTCTGTTGTTGATACAATGCACCTGCACTATTTCTATAATAGATTTTTAAAAGTTGTTTGTTTCATAGTTATCTCCAAGTCTATTTACTAAGTGTCATGACAAAATATTGTCTTGTCCTGCATAACTTAAATTCAGCTCTGTATGTAGTTCAAAAAAATGCTGAATTTCTGTCAAAATGTATATATGTATATACACATATATATAATGAAAAAAGACTTAAGCAGCATTTACTACATGGCAATTTTTGTCACTTTAAGAATATAAAAATTCACCGCCAACCTCAAAGGGTTCTTTTACTTCAGTGGCTCCAAAACCATCAGGATTATCATTTTTAACATTACAAATAATCACTGTCATCTATTATTCTCACATAAGTAGTTCCACCTAAAAACATAGCTCAATTCAAAGAGCTATGTTCAATTACCAAAATGTTTTAGGTATTATGTCCACTCATGAGAAAAAAAAAAAAAAAAGAGACTGGAGACTCAAATCAAGCCTGTAGCAATATTAATTCTTTTTTTTTTTTTTTTTTTATTCATGAGAGACAGAGAGAGAGAGAGGCAGAGGGAGAAGCAGGCTCCCAAGGAGCAGGAAGCCCGATGCGGGACTCGATCCCAGGACCCTGAGACCATGACCTGAGCCGAAGGCAGACGCTTAACCATCTGAGCCACCCAGGCGCCCAATATTAATTCTTGAAGGTGAATAAACTTTACTTCGTGACGCCGTCTTGGGAACACACTCAGAAAACAAATGAGGCAGCCGTGGGACCCAAAGCAGTGGCAGATGCCACCAATCCAGAATTTCTACCTAAAAATTATAAATAGATGCCAGTCAAAAATATAAATTGAATTTTTCTGAGCAATGCAACAGAAAAATATTTTTTAATCAAAGAAATAATAATTACTGCTACTAACAAACTTTCCAGCTGGATCCTTAATTTCAGTGAAGGTAATATTAAGATTTTTAGCCTTACAGAAAAGCACAGTAGTACAAAGTCCCCTGAAATGCAGTCATTTTAACCAGGACTAAAGGCAAATGTATCCTTGCACTATGAATACTAACTAATAAAGTAAATACGGTTGCACAGGACTTGGTTAACTTACTTAAACAAAACCATTTGTCCCTATACATAAATGGAGAGGTTATATACTCATTAAAGTAAACTCAGTTGGCCCCCTCTTTCATTCACTTAATTATTCAAACACATAGTGAACATTCTGTGCAAGGGGCACTGAGAGCAGAGGCTAAGTAAGCAGACTACCGCACTGCAAGAGTCCCCACTCTATCAGGGAAGACAGACACACGGACATGCAACGGTGCCACAGGCTCTACTGAATATAAGACCAAGATATTTTAAGAGATACAGAGAGAGGGATTAATTCTGCAGGGGCACAGATAAAGCTTCACAAAGTAGGTGATATGTTAGATAATCCTTAAGAAGTAAAGTCAGACATCAGTAGACAGAAGAACAAACAAGAGCAATTAGAACACTCCAAGCAGAGGACAGAACAGGGATATGCAAATACATACAACACCAGGAAAAAGCAAGCAATCCAGTGCAGTTCACAGACACTGAGCTGTATGGAGCAAGCAGGACAGAAGCCTGGATTTAGTTTTAAGGATGCTGTGGCAGGGAGTTCAATTTAACCAGACACAGAAGGAGACAAAGGCCAGAATCAGCGTGGTGGTCTCTTGTTTACAGAGCAACAATCCAATCCTTCTTTTACATAGAATCTGGGCATTCAGTCTCTTGAAGATTTCACTTTCCAAGATTCTCACCTTCCTTATTCATAGTTTGAGATTTTACCCAAGACTTTAGCATCCATCATAAGTTAGAAAGATGCAGAGAACATGTGCCACAGTACGGGAAATACATTCCCATTTAATCCTAATGACTCTACAGAGTAACAGTCCCATTTCATGAATGACAAAATTGAGGGTCAAAAAGACTGAGTAATTTGCACTAAGTTCCACAGCCAGTAAGTACTGAGTTATGATTCAAACCAGTTAGGTACATAACCCAAAGCCAGGCTTCTAATACCATGCTGCCTCATAAAAGATTAAGATTTCTTATATTTCCAAATCAATAATAAAAATATAAAATTTTCAAAGGAAGCAAGTTCAAATGAAAGTGAATCTACTAATCAAATGTTAAAACTGAAAATCTTCTAAAAGACAATACAAAAATCACTGGCATTTCCAAAACTGATGTCAGCAATTAATGAGTACTAAATTGTAACACAAATATTTCTTACGCCAAGCATTACACCAATACATGTCTAATATGACTTTTTTGCTTCCCACTGTTAAAATTTCTGACATACTTTTTTAGACAATTTAAACCAAATAAAAATAACTGAGAAAACTATATATATGATTTCTAATACAGAACAGCCTTAACCTGCACTTACCGGATATACTTTTGAATAACAAGTAAAGGGTTTATTATGAAATCTTATCTAACGACTTACAAATGCTGCACATAAAGAATTATACTAACTAGGTCACTGAAGGAAGCCAAATATTTTTGCCATCTAGTGATCTACAAAAAGAACATACGCTCCAGAGCCAAGCTGCCTGGATTTGAACTCTATCTTCATTAAGTAATCTTTTGCAAGTTACCTATCTTCAGTTCCCTGTGTAAAATGGGACTAGTAAAAGTACTTATCACACAGGGTTGTGATAAGGATTAAATGCATTAATATATGGAAAACGACTAGAACAGAGTGACAGTTGTCTATCAGATGAACAAATGGGACAGACCTAGACCATAAGGGCTCACTGTAACTATCTGGGTTTTTTTTTCCAGTGACACTGACAATTGAATAACCTAATCCTTCTAAAGAGCATCAAAGCCTAACAGAAACCTTAACTGTTTGAAATCTTGACTATATCAATTTGCCTTTTAAGTATTTAACTTAAGAACAAATGTAAAATATTCCCAAATTTCCCAAAGGGAGGAAAACAAAAGCCTTCTTTCCCCATGTTATCAGTGACTACATGCAGTAAGTAGAGAGGGAGAAGAAATGCACCCGTGTGTGCATCGCACCTTCTGTCAGGCCTAAGCTGGAGAGCCACCACTGCTACCAGAGATCTGCAGGCACGACACATGACCTTCAGTAGACATACATACATGACTTTTGCCCCACCTTGGAGCCAACATGTTCAACTTGTTTTATTTAATTAAGGTATAATTTACATACAATAAAATATAAGGTCTTAAGTGATTTGTTGATGAGTTCTGATAATCATATATATTATGATGGACAGTCTTGATTCAAGTGCTGCAACAATCCCACCTCAACCACAGAATACTGACCATGAGAAAGAAAATAATAAATGGTAATTAAGTTCTAAAGCCTGTCCACAGAAGTCAATTTCACCAATAATATAACTGACCTACTATAAAATAATGTGGCTACTATATGAACTAAACAAATTTTTATTGGTTGTTCTAAGCATCCAATCCTGACTTAAAACACGAAGTATGTTCTAAGTTACACCAAATTAACAAAACGCCTTTAGAAAAACAACATGTGAGCTGAGATTTCATATTTACCTTGTCTCAAAATTTTACTTGAACCTAAATTAATGTGGTTTACACTACAAATTTAGCCAGAATTTTCAAATAGAGGATAATAACCAAAAATAGCTCCTTAAGCCTTATCATATGTGTTCCTGAGTAGAAACAGTCTTATTTTAAGTATAATTATTGAAAATAAAGCAGTCCTGAAGTTTCTTTGTAGTACTACTCAACATAATACATAGATATACTTATCCCCAAACAACTTATAAACTAAAATACCAGTATACAGTACTAGTATTCAAACCAGTAACACTTTTTTCCTGCCATAATTAAGAAAAATTATTTCCACAGATCACATATAAGCTATTTTAAAAATTCTAGTTAGCTGGAAGTTAACAATATAAAGCTGTAACATACATGGAACACGAATGGCAAATAGAAAGTGACACACAGATTTACAGAGGTAGTGATCAAAAAGCATCAAAAGCAAATCTGAAGTTGCCTGGCTCACGAGAGGGATGGACCCTAAGCTAAATCAGCAGGAGTGAAGGAATAAAGTCACTAACAACAGAAAACAAGAAGAATCGAAAGCTAGTTAGCAAATACCAGGACTTCACCATTTAATTCTATTTTCCAGGAATTTCTGGAGCTTTTCCCCTGCTTTCTGTCAGTGCTATCAACCAACAGATGCTTAAAGATCAGGTGAGAGGAAAAAAAATTCAGCCACTGATTCATAAGCTACATCAGGTCTACATTTTTTTTTCCAACAAATTTTAACAAGTTTAAATTTAACAAATAGTTTTCATGTATGTCACAGTTATATCCATATTATCAACTTTACTAATCAAATTATGCTTTAAATAACTGCCACTCGCATACACTTATATGAGAGTCTCCTTTAATGAAAGATTTTATATTTCTTACTAGATTTTATTTTTCTCTATTAAATGTGTAAAATGTTTATATCTGGTTTCTAAATTGAAGATTCATATTAGTAGGAAAGCAGAAATAGGAGTTCGCTGAATTTTCCAGCTGATAAAGTGCTAATTACTCATTATTTGAGAACAATTTGTCCTAACACATAAAGCATATAATCATTCCTGTACAGAGCAAATTAATGCAGCCTAAAATCTTATTTTCTAATGTGAAAAGGGTACATAAGTACCAAAGCTTGAACTACAGAAATATTAAAAGAAAGAATGCTCCAAAAAATGGGGTTTTTTTTAAGAATAAAGTATAGTGATCAGAAACAGCACAGGACAAAGGAACATTTAAATATTTCCTAGGTGCCAGGCCCTGCACTAAAATATTTAACGCATAATGTCATCTAATATATAGAAGACCAAAGTTCCATTCTCAGCTTTGCAACTTAAAAGCCTATGACCTCAGGTAAGTTACTAAATCTCTGGGCCTCAAATATTTCTGTTTCTTTTTTCTGCAAAATAATGATCCTAACACCTGCTGTAACTTCTTTACTGATTGTTTTAAGGATCATATGAGGTATCTGGACATATCTTTAAATCTATAAACTGCAAAGGGCTATTACAATTGTTATGATTTGAGGTTGCATGGGCTAGAAATGTCTTGTTATTTAATTTTAGTTTAAATGTCTCATTACAAGGCAACTCAATATGATGTTTTTATACACAAATTATAAACGAAAATAGTTCCAATATATTCACTTAAATTCACTTTAGCATAAATTTTAGGTTCCTTTTAACACTTCTAAATTAACTCTGCCCATAGTGCCAAACCAGAAAGGAAAACTGACTGCATGTAATTTATGAGCTTTACTGCAGCTTTCTACTCCTCCAAACAATTAGGACCTCACAACTTTCTCTCAAATTGTTACATTATACCAACTTGCCTTGACAGAAAAGTTTACACATATTTTTGCTTTGAAATGAAGTTTCGATCTCACTTTCTAGAGTTCTTCTTTTTGTTGTTTTGTTTGTTTGTTTGTTTTAAGTAGGCTCCATGCCCAGCGTGGGGCTTGAACTCATAACCCTGAGTTTAAGGGTCTCATGCTCTACCAACTGAGCCAGCCAGGCGCCCTTACATCTTACTTTCTAAAGGAAAATATCACATTCTTCAAAGGTAACATCAAGAATTGCTAGTAATTCTTCTACTTAGTAGCAATAGCATAAATTGGTTCATTTGGCAAGAAATCCGCAATCTGTAACAAAGAGCTATGAAACTGTTTTACCTTTTATTCCAGAAACCCCACTCTAACAATGCACTCTAAGAAAACAAAGTAAACCAGACAAAGATATCCACAATAGTGCTGCTTATAAAGGAAAGAAATGGAAATAATCCTAACACAGTACAGTAAGCAATGCATGATATTTAGCCCGAAAAAATGTTAACTATATAGCTTTAAAAATGACAAGTACCCACTGACAGATAAAAATTAAATTGTGAACAAATACCTAAGTATATAATTATGAGCATATGTACATTAACAAAGAGGGAAAGATAATTTCTAATGACAAATACCTGACATAGAATTAACTTTTCCTATTGTTTAAATTGAAGATTACACAGTTTTAAACAAATACTTTTTAAAGGAAGAATCAAGGCCCTCTGAGCTTCATTTAAATGTAAGCAACTGGGCGCCTGGGTGGCTCAGATGGTTGAGCGTCTGCCTTCGGCTCAGGTCATGATCTCAGGGTCCTGGGATCGAGTCCCGCATCGGGCTCCCTGCTCCTTGGGAGCCTGCTTCTCCCTGTGCCTTTCTCTCTCGCTCTGTCTCTCATGAATTAAAAAAAAAAAAAAAAAAAAAAAAATAAATGTAAGCAACTGAGAACCACAGAAAAATATCTTATCAAGTCACTGATAATGCTAGAAATACTCTAAAATCCAAAGTACAGTTTTTTTGTGTATTAGCTGAGGGATTATTCCCCTCAACAAATTTAATCGATTTTTCTTCACAGCTGTTATGAAATAATGTATCTACAACTGTTCAAACCTACATCAGTGAACCTCTAAAAATTTAAGTTGCCCAACTAACTGGTTTTAACGAGCATAAGAAACAATTACCTTCTTCCTAGGTCTCTGGATGAATACGATAAGGCTGATTTCCTGTTTCAGAACTCTGCTGCTGTTAAAATACACACACGCACACCCCACCCCACCCCCATGGTTCTGCTCCCACTAACAAACATCTAAGACTCACCACCAATGACAAATCAAATAAAATATGGTTTAACTTACAAAACAACTTTCAGAAAGATCGTCGGTTCAACACGCATTAGACATACTTGTCAGCATTATATACCTGAACTAAGCCAAATGCTAACTCTAATTTTCTACAGCAAAATCATAATAAAGTATATGAAAAATAAAAGTTAAAATTATAACATTGATCCAGCATTACTATAAAGTACATAAGAGTGTATCTTTTATGCTCTAATCTTTATATTCATTGTTAGGTTTATGTTACTTCTGTAGTTCATTTCATGTAGTTATAAAAGCCAAGCTTTTTAATCATTTATTTTACCAGATATAACCGTCCAAAACACTAGGTTTGGACTGTTCCCTAAGCCCATTAATTTTTACAGACAAAAAGACATTCATACAGGTAAGACAGAGAAGATGACAAGGGATGTATCAATAGTTTGAGAACAAAGGCCTAGCAGTATTTAGTGCAAATTCACTATTAGTAAACTGCATTCAAAAAAATAAATAACAGATTCCAACATTTCCAACTGTACTGATCTTTTAGATACAGCCATGCACTAATTTCCTAATATTCAAAAACTACTACACACACAAGGTACTAAGAAAAAAAAGTTCTAATACAAAATGTATCTCCAGCAAGTGGGTTTTCATTTTCCTACTAATTAAGCTAAAACTGTAAAATTTTTAAATTTACTTCTAACAATCAAATTTACCTTTCAATGAAAGCGCTGCTAATTTGAACCATTTTAATGGAAGAAAGCTCCAAACAAGTGTGTGCTAGACTGCTTCATTTTATATTTGGCTTTAATATAATAAAACCAGGTCTCTTTATTTTATATCTAAGCAAGGAAATCTTTTAGAAATGACTAGCCTTTTTTTTTTTTTTTCCCCAAATGGCAAAAATAGTTTTGCCTAACTGCTGTATTTTAATCCTGGATAAGAATAATATAAACTTGAAATACAGGTCTATTTTAAAATATGAAGGCACACATATTGGCATTCATTACTACATTAGTAAGAATCATATTACTGATTTTATTATAACTGCCTTGTTCTAATACTGAAAAATATGATTCATATTCCCACTGAGGGCATTTTTATCATTATATCAACTTTATAATCACTTGAATAAGTGGATTATAAAAAAAAACCCTGAAATTACATATACTAAAATACTAGTCAAAATTCATATTTTAAATTTTAATAATATGCAATTTTTAAATATACTAAAAAATATGAGAGCAAGTCTACATTGCTTGGTTTGAAAAGGTAATACTCTTAATTTTAGTCAGCTACCCATAAATGCTTGTTCCTGAAGCAGTATCATTTTAGTATAAATCCAATTATTACAACTGGGGGAAAAAAAGCACAATTACTGATCACAATTAGTTGTGGAATCTTCACATGCAAAGGAGAACATACTAAAATCTTGGAAAATAATTAAGCTGAAATTTGAATGATAAAACTAACGAGTCAACTCTGTCAACCAATAAACAAACTTTTTAAAAACATAAAAGTTCAACATATAGAAAAACAAAAATACCAACAGTTAGATGGGAGGGACAGAAATGAAAACAGGGAAAGGAGCTCTTAACACCTCACACCCTTTAAATACTAATAGGTAAACAAAACAGGTAAAGACTTTTAGTATTTGGATAAAAATCTCACCTACATATGTGCTGCCTCACTTAATGTAAGAGAGAGAATTTATGTACACATTATCTGTCTATCCAAAAAGGCACCATTCTTTTCATGGTCTAGAGTTCAGACCTGAACAAGTTCTATAAAGTGATGCTAGTAAAACAATCTACTTTCATCAGACATGAATTTGAAATTGGCAAGACGTTTCTTACACAAAAAATAGAGGCCCTAAACACAAAGTCAGATGTGAGAACATAAATTCAAAATCCTATCTAAAACTGAAAAATTATGCCTGATCATATTAATCATTTGGCATAATAACAAACTTCTCAATAAAAAAGTCAATATAATAAATAAAACAAAGTAGATTAAAACTAATCAGACCCTATTAAGTCCAATATGCAATTTTAAAGACATCTATGCAACCTGGCAACACCCAGTTCTTTGGGGGGTGAAAAGGAATTATGTTACAGAAACAACTTACATATAGTGGCTTAAAATGAAAAAGCAAAATTTCAAATGGGGAAACTCATTTACTAGCAGAAAGACAATTGAGTTGTACAGGAAAGCAGAGGACCTGAAAAATATTTAAAGCAAATAGTTAAGGAATACATATTAAATCAGTTCCCTGATGAAGTTCTGTAATAATGAATTCCTATATGCCAACTGTTAGGAAGATTACAGTTTAAAAATACCAAAATCTCATATAACTTAATATCTCAAGTTAAAACATGATGTTTCCACTTAAATATCCAAATAATCTTGTAAAACTAAATGACTAAAAGCCAGACTTCCATTACATAAACTTTAGTTCTCAACCAGTATCTTTGCATTTTAGAAGAAAAATATAAACACTAGCATAACCACTAAGTTTTATTATTGCAAAAGCTTAAAACTCATATTAGTCTTTAAACACTATCATAGATGATTCCAAAAAACAGAAATGTCAAAACCACTCATATCACTAGATTATCTTAACTTTTTCCTATAGTTGAGTAACAGATGGCAAGCCTTAGTTCTTGGACACTGCACAATAATCACAATCTGTGTGACCTTTTCAGTATTAAAAAGAATCCAAATAGCCTTAATAACCAGCACCTGAGTGTATTTTACAGTATTACCTATAATCCTGATCAGGATGAACAGAAACTAGATATGCAAAACTGCATCATACTTTTAGTGTACTGATATTTATTTTACATAAATTTCTGACAACAGTCCATGAAAACTATCCAGATGTCAGATTGCTTCTTCAGTTTTCAAAAAACATACATGCATACATTCACAAAGAATTTTTACCATTACTTTGTTTTCATTAGCACCAACTAGGTATGTATCATATGTAGACCAAACTACAGGGAAACAACTATTTCTGATACTTCACCATTTAAAATAACTAAGGCAATTATGAGGGGTTCTGGAAACTATTTAAAAATGCACAAATACCTTTTATATTCACTACGATGAACTACATTTTAAACTAGATGCATAGGAACAAAACTAGAAGCTAGTAGGAAATATGAAGTATCAGAAAAGTAGAATAGGCACTTTTAAAAAATTCTCTTTGGTTGTATTTGTATAAAACAAATTTTTTAAAAGAAATTTTCTTAAGTATAGCAAGCAAATGAAGTCTATTATTCATATACTGAAATAAATACCATAAGCCTTACTCAATTAAACTACAGCAATAAATGCCATCTGTTTTTCTTAACAAATTTGAAGCTATCATATAATTAGCAGTTCTGGTTTTAAAATATTTATCAGTATCTCTGGATATCTCCTATAATTTCAAAAAGAAATCACAACACTGAGTCAAAACTTAAATTTCGTAAGAATTTTTAAGATAGGCCTGACATTTTATTCTGCTTGTGCAAAGTGAGAGGCAAAGTAAATTGTAAAATCAAGCAAACAGAAAAAAAAAATCACAGTAAACAATCTATTCCTAGAACACTTTCGTAATTACGTTTACCCTAAAAACAAAACAAAATTCAGAATCCACTAAGCTACTCCCCTGACATTTTCTCATCTCTGAACTAATCTAAAGCTCCGTCCTAAATTTTTTTAAAAACTTCACATTAATGCAAGTTTTTAAATTAGATAAATAAAGCACTTCAATTCAACAGGCTGACACAGCAAAGTTAGGATCTAGAAAAGAATATAACACATACATCAGAGAACCTTAGAGTCAGCCCTACTTTATCTGGAAAGATAGAAGTTTTTTATAACTTGTCAGAAATTTGCCATTTTACATCAACACATTTAACTCCACCAGATCTGAGTATAACAAAGCAGCTTTAGAATAAAGTGTAAGACTAAAAAAATGCATTAAACAACAAAAAACAAGTACACTGGGGGCAAAGTATCTCTCAACAACTACATAATTAAAGGAAACAAGCTAAAGATTACTTTAAAAACTATTACCAATATAAAAATGAAAAAAAAGTTGTGTGGTTTTTTAATAAAGCATATCCATCCTGTTAGAGCAGTTCTAAGTAACATCCTTCTACATACCTCTGAAGGTGCTTTACACTTACACACTTATTGAAAACATCTTCAGCCTTTTCTAAAAGAAGTTAAGGCAACACTTTCACAACCAGCCAAATAACACATAAGCCATTTTGGTTACCAGTGATATCTTTTTTGGACAAAGTTCCTATTATAAAGAATGTTGGCCTAGCAGCAGTCAGAAAACCTAGATGTTAAAAGCCTCGCTCCATCATGTATTAGCAAACTGACCTTCTTAAGTACCACAGCCTAGACGCAAAGGTACTGACTTTTATCAAATATTATACTTCCCTTATTACTATGTACCAGACACTTTATACCTTTAAGTAGAGTTTCTCGGGACGCCTGGGTGCCTCAGTCAGTTAAGCGTCTGCCTTCGGCTCAGGTCATGATCCCAAGCTCCTGGTCTCGAGGCCCACACATCAGGCTCCTTGCTCAGCGGGGAGTCTACTTCTCCCTCTGCCTGCCAACCCCCCCTGCTTGTGCTCTCTCTCTGACAAATAAAATCTTTAAAAAAAAATTATAATAGAGTTTCTCAACCTCACATTCTTGACAATTTGGGCCAGATAATTCTTTGTTGTGGGAAGGACTGCCCTGTACACTATAGGATGTATAGCAGCATCCCTGGGCTCTACCAGAGCATCCCTCCCACATTGATCTCCCAGCTGTGACCACCAAAAATGTCTCCAGACACTGCCAAATGCCCAGACAAGGTGGGAGGAGGTCACTCCCAGTTGGCAACCAATATTCGGAAAACACCTCACCTATACTTCTAACAAACCTAAAAACTACCCTGAGGATTTTTACCAACACGTTAAGAGATGTGAAAAAAGGGTTCACTAACGTTAAGCAGTGTATCTTTTATTATACAACTGATATGTGGCTGAGCAAGGAGTTAAGCTAGACTTTAACTGACTCCCAAGTCCATGCTCTGTCTACCCCACCATGCTGCTTTTCTAAACTTACTGCCTCATCTACATCATCAGAATAATATTTGCCATATTGAGTTATTTAGGGTTTACAGATCAAATGAGATAATGTATATATAAATTCTATTAACCTAAAGGAAATAACACATTAAGGATTTGTTTGACTGAAGATAACATAATCCAGTGGTTCACAAAGAGTGATCCCCAGATCACCAGCATCAACATCACTTGGGAACTTGTTACAAATGCAAATTCTCATGCCCCAACCCAGACCTAATGAATCACAAATTCTCAGGGTGGGATATGTAATCTATGGTTTAACAAGTCCTCCAGGTTATTCTGATGCCCTTTAAAGTTTGAGAACCACTGATATAATGGGGAAAATACTACACCAAGTGCCTAAAAACCCTACATCCTTCTTTGGACTCAATCTCTACTAGCTCTTAACAAGTTACTGATTCTTATTGGAGCTATGATTCCTATACCACAAAAGAAAAAAAAAAAAAAAAAGACAGTAGTACTTGCTCTTTTAGGCTTTTTTTCTTCTATGCAAAACCAAATGAGCTAAAGATTAAGAAAAGGCTTTGTTAAACACACACACACACACACACACACACACACACACACTAAACAAATATAGGATATTTGTTAGGACACTGTTAGGATATATGCCACCTAACTCCACTACATTAATTAAACAGGAAAAAAAAAAACCCTTCTGACTCAAGTCCTCATTTTTCTCTTATTTCATATTTCATGAATGATTAAGAATGTTAAATAAATTTTACATCATGGCTAAATAAAGCCTGGCAAAACAGTTTTCACATTTTGAAAAAATACAACAGAAAAAGCTCAAGCATTCCATTTGATCTCTGAAAGACTCAGAACAAAGTAATTCATAAGTACACATTTTAAAAATAAACACCTAAAAATCAAGCTTAGTTAACATCCCCCAAACTTCATTTTAAAAGTAGAAAAAAATTTTCAGCTCTATTTACCTCCAATCAGTTCAGAATGACTAGAACACTCAAAAAGAAGTCTCACTAATTCGTGAGAGCAAAGGAATTTTAAATGGAAAAAAAACTGCATACATTTTATTTTTTTTTATTTTTTATTTTTTAAAGATTTTATTTATTTGAGAAAGAGAATGAGAGAGAGAGAGAGAGCATGAGAGGGAGGAGGGTCAGAGGGAGAAGCAGACTCTCTGCTGAGCAGGGAGCCCGATGCGGGACTCGATCCCGGGACTCCAGGATCATGACCTGAGCCGAAGGCAGTCGCTTAACCAACTGAGCCACCCAGGCGCCCCAAAATTGCATACATTTTAAAGCAGAGTTGTTGCAACTTTGAACATGTATGCTCTATTTATAAATCACTTCAATAATATATCTGATTTAAAGAATATGTGATTCAAATCACAATGCATTTCATAACACCTTAAGCAATTAGATACTCCTTTTTAAAGGTCAAAAATATTAAACATACAAAATTGGCAGAATACAAACCTTGCAATTACTAGTAAAGAAGAAAACCTGGTATTTTAGCTTGAAAAATCTACAAAAATCAAAGGAAATAAAATTTAAAACTATTCTGAAGAGTCTTAATAATATTAAATCAACTAGGTTTTGGGTAGCACATAGATGGCATGTGGTAGGAAAGAGAGTTTTAGACCACTCAATTGTCCTAGAAGATGTCAAAATGTTCAATTCTACAACGGAGACTTAGACCAAAAATACAGCTAGTTTATACAACACATAACAAAATACCTAAAAATCACATCACCATACAGCCACATATATAATGAGACAGAACACCATTCATCCTGCAATGAGAAACAAATAAACAAGCAAAAAAACTCACTGGAAATCAAGAGCTTCACTACTGACAGTACTGGGAGACAGCTAGGCAAAGGAAAAAAAAGAATCATCCCTATGCACACAAAACAGCCCTGACCAAGTAAGTCTCAAGCTTATTCCATCCTTCTCCATACCTGGCAAGAATGAATGAAGAAAAAAAAAAAATTCTTTAGTTTTCTTCCCATTTCCAAGGCCTAAAATTATATTGAGACTCTTGATCAAATCTGAAAATGGGATACAATAATACAAAGGTTTAACACCAAATTAAAATTCCTATGTTATATGAATGCACTGTCAGATTACATTAAGTGTAAATTGTAGTTAAGTGTAACTTGGCACTCAAAGTTGCATATCTCTCCCAAAAATGAACTTAAAAAGATACGCTTATACACCTTTATGGATAAACAGTGACATAACTTTTGTATTATACGTTAAAAGTTTTCTTTGAGAAGATTACTCTTTGTGAATAAAATATGTGATACTGAAGTTGACCTATCTCTAACACTAAGGAAAATTTATTATAACAAATTTTTATTTTAAAACGTCTACTTAATTATACAATAATAATAGGAAGTTTTCATCTTACTTCAATATCTTAAAGCAAACACTTTTTGATTAGCATGATTAATTTTTCTTTGGTCAATAGTATGAGTGAGCAGACCTTTATATTCCATTTGTGATGAAACAATGAAATCACAGACATGTTATACTCAGAGCTCCTAAAGGAATATCTCTATTTCAAAAAATACTCGTAGTTTGAACCAATTAAAATTCTAATATGTCCAAAACTGAGGAACTTCAGTTACAATCACTGCTCCTCCCATAAATGAAAATACAAATAATTTCTCATACATGGGTAATCCGAAATTACAATTTTTAAGAGCAGCAGTTACCATGTAAGTATTTACATTGTGGCAGGTAGCATGCTAAGCGAATTACTCCTATTATCTCATTTATTCTTTAAGATAAATTTTACAGATGAAACAGCTTGAGAAAGAGTAACCTACTCAAAGTCACCCAGCTGCTAAGTGGGAGGGCCAGGATTCCATCACAGGCATGTCTGGCTCCAGAACCTACACGGCCACCCTAACATCTACAATGAAACAAGGTATACACAGTGTGTAGATAAAATTAATACTCAACACTTTAATGTCATTTAAAATAAATTTAAACTTATGTGAAAATGATAAAAAAAATATCCACCAAGGTAACCTCATTTTTCAGAAGTATTGATAGTTTGCTAACTTTGTACTTATTTACACATATACACAGAATATTCACACACTATGTTAGATTCACTGTCCATATCTGAAGTGATGACTATGGATGACAATTAAAGTGCATAACCACCTAAAATATAATATGTCAACAGTCTTCTTGTCCACACTATGTACAGCGTAAGAGTATTCTTTTGCTGTCAGGTGCAGCCACAGTATCCATCTCTCAATATTCTCAGTACAGCCAAGTGTATATCTAACACCCTGAAGATGTCCACCTGCCTCTTAATGCAAACTGCTGCAAATGAACAGAATATGCCTTAACTATACTGAACTGAACTAAAACTTCTCCTCTAAATTAATTCACACCTAAATAATGTTTATTTTTCTTATATTAATATTTTTTCCAAAAGCCTTTATTCCAGTGCAAATTACCTTAAAAGAACCAAATTGCTAATACCTTTTCTGTAACCAATAAAAAAATTCAAAAAATTAGAGGATAGGATAGAGTCACCTTTCCTGCCAAATGAAAGTATTTTACATTAGTAGATGCATATATCCAATGCTTAGACAATCATTATTGACAGACCAGAACACTTTTGACCACCTAGCAGAGAATGCATGTGGCAGTAAGTGGCCTTTATAAAACAATTAAGGATATCATTTCACTCAGCAAATCCTTACCAACTTAAGGTTATGCAGTCTAACCTCAACATAACTGACACCTCTGATAGCAAATGCATTAATTTCAAAGCTACCAGACAGAAAGCAACTGTAAAACAGAACTGAATATTTACTGAAATCATTACTGACCCCTACCTCAGAAGTTGATACAAAGGTCTTAAGTCACTATCCTCAGAACAAATTCTAACACATTTTCTTAATGAATTCAGGTCACAAAAGAATTCTCCAATACTGACTTCACTTAAAATCAAAGTTTATCTAACAAAAAAAGGCAAGGAAGAGCGAGGGCTCCTCAAAATAAAAATAAAACTTCAGAACTCATGGTCTCTACAGGAAAAAAAATATGATATCAAATAAATGTTTTATACAATCATTAATAACACAGCTTCTAGGAGCTAAGTCCTTGGACCATGACCAAGACCAAACACTTCAAGTAAGTGAAAAACTATCACGTGCATGCACACTTCTAAATTTCTCTCTACAAACTCCATTTCACATAGTTTTAATATAAAAACATTTGTCTTACTAAAAAAGGCTGAGGTCAAAATTTAAAAGTAAAATGTTTACTGAGAGTGAATTAATGCTGAAACTTTGTGCATTGATTTTCCCATAAGTATTCCTCCATTAAAAGTTACTGAAGTAATTACTTAAGTGGCTTAAAAAATATTAAAAAGTATTAAGTTATCACCAAACGAACAAACAGCAAATGGGGCAAATCTCAAAATGAGAACACGTGATAATAAGAATTAACATTAAGAAGTTTGTGTGTTTTATTTAAGTGGTTATTAGGAAAAAACAGATCTACTGTTCCACACAAACACTAAAATATCGATAGCTGCCTTTCTCATGTCGTTAAAATTCTAAAAGGAAGGAACACCGATGCACCTTTCTTTTTCCACAGTTTCTAAAAATAAATGTTAAACTAAGGTGATTATAAGTCACTATATTTTAGGATGTTTATTCAAGTAATATTCACTCAGTGCAGGATACGCGATGTAAATCCGCAGATGGCTGCCCTACTGGGCAAACTTTTACAATGCACAGCAATAAAATCCCTTTTTCCTTATATTAAGTCAGATAAACTGTAAATTATTCTTTCAGATGCACTTTATTCTTGAATGACCTTTATGAAAATGAAGTTTGTAAACTGTTATACAGCAATTAGGATGCCAGGTCATGTTGTTCAGAAAAGAAATGCAACTTAGCAGATATGAAACAGGGTAAAATAAAAATTTTGAACAGAATCTTTAAAAAAATAAACAAATTCACACACACACACACACATCTCTCACGATATGGTCATTTCAGTAATCACTAATCTTAAAAGGTAATACAATTAACTTCAAGAGTCCCTGTACCCTCTACAAGTTAAAAATACCCCCTATGGTTAACATCTGAAAAGACGCAAACTTATCAAAAAATAAAAATACAACCAAAACTTAAAGTTTCCATGAAATCTAAAGACACTAAATTTTTTATAGTCTCACGGTCATCACTACTTTCCAGACTAATAATAAGATACCAAGAAATTATTTTTAGAACTCAATTTTGCAAATAATATTGCAAAATTTGCAAATAATCGTCCTCAATTTTCCTCTGAGAAATCACTACAGTCTTAATCTTTCTTATCAGACAGAAATACTCCAATTACTACTTTCATAAAGGAATTTAACTTCTCACAGGCTAGCTGCTGAAACAGATACTACAACCTGCCAGAGACAAAATCTTCAATGGCCATTTTAATTTTCCCCCCACAATAAACACAGAACACTAAAGTGAAACCAAGTAAACCAAAGTGCTTTGGTGTATCAAAATTATTGGAAGTGCAACTATCAAAAAAGATCCCTTCACTGACTTTTTCCTAAGTGATTTTTTTTATATCAATATTTGGCTCAATAAAACCACAACTCTAGAAATTAAGTGTTACTAGTCATTTGATGCAATATTTGATGCTGCTTTCTATGTATACCGTAACTAAAAGCACAGTGTTAGAGAAAGTTTTAAGTCACATAAATTTCACGTACAGAGGCACACCTCTGAAATCAAAGGAGAACTGGCAATCATCTCACTACTCACGTGAAAGAACCTGGTAGAATAATTTTAAACTTAAAACCCTACTAAATTTTAAAGGAAATGGGTAAAGTAAAAATAGTATAAACATACTCTGAATAATAAAAGCAATCTACCAAACAGCATTATAGACATTTTTCTGCATGGGGACTTTTCTTAAAAAGTTAAAACATTTAATCAATTTGCTCCTATACATGTCAGTTCACACCAACAGCAGATTGCTCTTGAAATAAATTACAAATCAGTTTTTCCATAATTAATTACCTTCTAGGCAAGCAGGTCAAGTTCAGCCTGACTAGTTTTGCAATTAATGCAGAGTCCAGAACTTCTAAATATTCTTTTAAAATATTAATCCTTAACAGAAAACTTACGTTTTGTGTGTTATAAAGCTCCTTCTTAACTTTTACCTTCATCTCAAAACAAACAGTTGGGCAAAATTAGTTGTGCACATTTACGTGCAGCTATATAATCCAAAGGAATAAAACCTCTTCAGCTATAAAACATTTTCTTCAAAAAACAAATCTTCCCCACAGTTTTTAGCAGGACATATGGACACTTTAGCGCCACTCAACCTTTAGGCAAAATGTTCACTGACATTTGCTAAGACATAATTTTTATTAATACTCTATTATGCAATTACATAATTTTAAATATTGTCCAGCATTATAACTCACATCACCAAAATTTTGGTCTTAATAGCAGCCTTAATAAGATGCTTCAGGCACCTCAGACCAACAACTTAATTCTGTTTTTTCATGCCTTACACATTGGCCTACCAGGAACTCTGATCGTCTGTGATACTTCCCATTCTGCAAACCAGGAGGGCTCTATCCCCATCCTTGCTCAAAACCAGTTCATTATACCTGAAACTGCAAAGATCAACGCCTTTCGATAACCACTATCTTTTGAGGTACAAAGGCCTAACTTTTAGACAACCAAAATGACACGCTTGTTACAATTCTTGGGTTTCTGTTTATTCAACCACCTGAGTCAGTAAATTTAAGACACTGGGTGAAAAACAGCTAACATACCTACACAATCTGAGGCTGGAGGTAATCCCCTCTTGCAGGCCGTTCTTTTTATGAGCTGGTATATTACACTTGCCATTATACACAAGTCAAGAGTACAATTAATGGACCCCCAAAGGTGTCAGAGGACCTGCAACTTGAATTAGGTGAGCAGCAATTCCGGCATCACAGTAACACTTAAATTTCAAGGAAGAACTGAAGCTTAATCTCTGCAATCACAATTTGCGGCACACAATACCCTTAGAACCCACACAACATTATCATCTGGGATCAAAACACACTCAATTTCCATTCTATTACGTGTGACCAGACCACTGAATATAAAACACTACTGCGCCGCAAATTTCATGCCCTATCCTGTATCACCCCATCAGGACGAAAAAAAAAGGCGAATTTAACAAAGATCTAGTAAGAGTGCCTTAGGAGGTATATCACCTATGACACTATTGATTTCAAACTACAAAACTTCTAAAGGCAGTCCAAAGTTGTAATTAAACTTAGCTTAAATATAAAAACCTCCTTTTGCCCTCCAATGAACACCATATATGCTGAAAATGATTCCGCTTCCAAAGTTATGCAAATCAGTTCACAAGTCACATTAAAAAAAAAAAAAAAAGTCTATCAATGCAACCCAGGAAACTAAAAACAATCACTGCAAGATTCTGATGCAATATGCATACGTGCAACACTAATTTTCATTTTAATCTAATCTATACCCTTGATCTAGGGCCTAAAGCCAAGATTTAATCGAAATATGCTCAACCTCAAAGCGTCTACTCTTCTGTTCATAGAGCAGACCGGATTACCGAGCTCACTAATCCACCACCCGTGTACTGTATTCTGTATTAACGGACAATAGCCCTTCGGAAGAGACCCCGTCGGCAGACGAGAGAAACCAATCCGTGCCTTGACACTTGCAAGCAGGCAAGAGTTCCATGTAGCCGAACACACCCTAGGCTGGATGCATTCAAGAGACACACCAGACAGACACGATCTAGAAATGCGAGCAGGCGAGCTGCTCTAGTCACCCAAACTACGGCAATCTCTCGCCTCCGTGTGCTCCCACGTTCTAAGAGAGAGTGACAGAAAGGCAAAGAGGGGCAGCGGCAGAAATGGATACAGGTCAAGTCTAAGTCGAATCCATCCTCTTGATATCTCCTTTTGTTTCTGCTAACGATCTCTTTGATGATGGCTGTCATGTCTGGGAGCCTGTGGCTGAAGAAAAAGGAGGAGAGAGATGGCAGAAGCGGCTGGTGGCGGGGCTTCTTCTGCAGGATGGAAATGGCTCTGGACTTGGCGGTAGCGGATGCCCCTCGCTCTGCCGCCGCCTGGCTCTGGACCGCAGCCGGGTAATGGCTGCTGCGGCGGTTGCTGGATGGTTGCAGCGACTGGGCCTGCTTCTCCTCAGCAGCCAGAGGCCTGGCCGCGGCGGCCGCGGGACGGGAAGGAGACGGAGAATCCTCGGCACGGCCGCTGCCTCCGCCGGCGGCCTCCGCAGCCCGGGCCGGGGGGGGTGCGGCGGCGGCGGAGGGGAGGTTTACAGCCGGCCCGGGTCCCTGGACGTGCCGCCGCCGCCGCCGCCGTGTTGGAGGCAGTAGGAGGGGAGAGACCAACTCTCCGGCGGCCCCAGCCCTGGAAATGGTGACAGGCGACTCCGGCCCCCTCCCCGGAGCTGCAGCCGCCGCGGCCGCCGCCGCCGCCGCTTCTCCCCCCCGCTCCAGGAGCGGGAGGTGCCGCCGCCGCCGCCGCCGCCGCCGCCGCGCCTCAGCCGGCTCCCGCCCGGGCCCGCGGCTTCCACCGTCCCTTGCACGAGAAGCCGAGCGAGAGGCTGCACGGTTAGAAGAGAGGTCGAGGACGAGGCGAGAGACGACGCCGCCGCTGCCGCCGCCGCCGGCCGGCCGGCTCCCCGAGGGCGCTGCCCCCGCGGCTGCTCACGGGCGCTGAGAGGGGCTCTGGGCCGCGGCCGCCGCCGTCTCTCATCTCCCTCGCCTGAGCCCGGCCTCGCCTCACAGCGGCTCAACTCTCAAACTTCCATCATGGCTGCAGCTTCCGAGAGGAGAGAGCCGAGCGCAGCCGCGGCTCGGCGCCCCGGCGCGTATCCTGCCGCAGTGCACAAAGAGTCCCGCCACATCACCGCCCGCCGGCCCGCCCGCCCCCTCCGCCGCCGCCGCCACGCCGGGAGCCCGGCGCCTGGGAGCCCGAGGGGAGGCGGGAGGCGGGCGAGACCCCGCCGGGGGAAGGAGGGACGCGGCGGGGCAGGGGCGGCAGCGCCAGGGGCGAGCGCCGAGCCCCTGGCCCGCGGGCGCCACTGAGCATGCCCAGTGCGAGCTCCCGGGGCTCGCTCGGGCTTGTGCGAGGCGCCCGCCAGGAGCTGCACTTGCCGCGGCCGCTTCTGCAGCAGCGCGGGGCGGGGGGGTGGTGCGGGAGTTGAAGAGGGGAGAACGAGCCAAGCCTCGGCCTGTGCCCAGAAACCCGGTCGGGGACGGGGAGAGCTGAGGGGTGCACTGAGCGGTGTCGCTGACTCGAGTCTGAGGTTACCTGTGCACAGGTGGGGAGGACCAGGTGACTCGCGCTGATCGGGGGACAGGGAAACGCGGGGACCGTCCCCGCCGCGAGGGCGCCCCTCCCCCCCGCCTCCGCCCCCAGATTTCCCCGGCCCGGCCCACAGCCTCGTCCTCTTTTTGCACCGCTGTGGCATCACTGTCGTTCGCAGGGACTCGCCTGCAGCCGCCTTTGCCGAGAAAACCCACCTCTCTGTCCACCCCCCGCCCGTGTCCTCAAGGTGTCAGTCTTAGCACAAAGAACAACCCCCTATTGTGTCTCCGTGTGTATCACCTCATCCGGCTCCCTCTCACCGCCCCACCTCCCGCTTCCCCAGCAGCTCGGCTCCTTCGCCCTAAAAATGAGAGCTTGCAGCCGAGCGCGCTGCGTGTGAGCACATCGCCCTTGGACGTCTAAGGTCCCCAAGGACCACTGCCCGCGTTGCACCGAAAGTGGACCCCGGAGGGCGGGACGCACCCCGCAGCCCCCTGCATTTCCCCCTGGAGAGCTAAGCATCCCTCCCCTCGGGGCTCCAACTCGGTTCACCGCGTCGAACTCCGGGCTCGGGGCTCAGAGGCTGCCTGGCCCCGCCCCTTTTCGGGCCGCTGTGAAAACCCGGCCGGGTGGATCGCCGCGGGCCGGCTTCCGCGCTCCCCGAGCCGGGTTGCGCACGCCGGCGGCCGGCGCTGCCCGTGCCCGACTGTGAAATACGGGACGGTAGGAAGCGGCAGCCCCTGCGAGTGGGCGGGGCCGGGGAGACCGAGGAGGGTTCAAAAGGCGGTGGAGGGATACGCGGGCCACAGTCGGAACTACTTTCAGGAGGAGGTCACGTGTGTTCCTAGTTGGGGAACTTTCCAAATTCCCACTCCCCTATGATGGCTCGGGAGGCAAGTGCCTCGCGTCCTTCGCCCGGGGTGCCGCTGCCGTCTGTCGGCAGCGGGACCCCGAGCCTCCGGGTCGCGGCGGAAAAACAGGCTCCTACGAGCCTCCGGCCCGAGCGCTGTCGGTGCTGGCGCCTGGGGAGCTGGTTACACAAGCACCCACCTTCAAGCACGTGCCCCCGCCTCCCCGCATTGCTGGCCGCGGCCGCGGCTTCTCGCGGACCTCGGAGGGCGAGCTCCCAAGCGGCTCCTACCCATTCGCGTGCTACCTACCGAGCCAGCGAAACTGCCAAGACTTGAGACTTGGAGCTCCGGCTCGGCCAACAGTGCGCGTTCCTAACCGTGGGAGAAGGAAAAGGGCCCCAGGGGTCTGGCATCTCCCTCGCTAGTGCCCTGCCCCTTGGGGCGAACCTTTCTGGTTCTGTGCACCCGGGGCAAAGGGTATCTCCTGCAGCAGCAGCCCGCCGCTTGAATCCACCAGTGTTGCAACAAACTTCCAGTCACTACCCCTGAGCCGGTGAGCGCGCCCCACCTACTGTAGACTCAGCCAAGCGACTTATCTGGTCGGAGAACCTAGTCAATGGCCATCAGCCCAGAGCAAACCTGTCAAGTCGGCTAACAGCCCCGATTTGTTGACCTATCCCTGTGAGAGAGCTGGTTCAGAAATTCTGAGAACTGTAGCGCATTTACCCTGACACTGATCAGCTGCAAAGCGAGTTGTACACTTTCTGCTTGAAGAGAATGAACACCAATCAACACGAATCTAGGAATTTCTTCCTTTTCTTTCCCCCTGGAAAGTAGAACTCAAGGAGACAATTGGAGTCCAAAGAATCTGAGTTGAGACCTGGGCTGAGGCACTGGCTCATTTTCTTTCTCTCTTTTTTTTTAGATCTGGGAGAATGGGATCAATTTGCATGTGTATTGCAGTAATCGTGAGTAGGTGCCTAGGAAGGTCTAAAAGGATTTATTCGGTGTCTGAAAAAGAAGACTCTGTATGAGCCCATCATGGTTGGAGGCAGCCCCTTGAAGACTAGAAACCCCAAGAGGGCTTGCTTAGAAGCCACAGGCCATTACCTAATTCCACCACTACTAATTAAACCAGGGATATTTACAGTGTTCTTAGAGATCTCCCAGGCTCCATTTGTATACACTATCCTTTTTAAGACAGGCCTGCGGCAGTTAGCAACCCGCTGAATCTTCAGTGTTGATATTCATTGGAGGCTGTTTTTGTGCATGGTCCTGGTCAGCCTGTGGGAGGTAGAGGCCACAAGTGGAAAATGAAATGGGGAGGTGAGGGGGGACAATCTGGAAAGAGTAGGAGAAAGGCCTCCATTTGGTTTCCAAAAATGAAAATCCTACCCACACAGCCTAGGGTAAGCCAGAGATTTCTTTATTTTATAAGTAACCAATGATAAGGAGTCCCCGATTTGTAGGTATTCCACTGGACTTCTTGGTAAGAAACTGAGCTGTGTTCCATAGAGTAGCAAATACCGCTTGGTGGGGTTTCTCAGGTTGCTGATCTTGTCTCCAGAGTCCCTGCTATTAGCACTGCCCTACTCTGCCCCCCCCCCCCCCCGCCACCGCGGCCCCCCCCCCCCCAGCCTACCCTATTCTGAAATCCACTTCCTGCGAAGGAAGAGACAGGATGCTTCTCCACTCCCATGGCACAGAGTTCTTGTGGAGCAGAGACGGCACACACCACCGACACTAAAGGGCTGGAACAGGAGATTGGCCCACAGCACTTCCATTGGCAGAGGGAAGAAAATGGAACATGAGTTTTGCTGCTTCTCTGAACACGAACTCCCTCTGCTTCTCTCTAGCAGTGAACGAAAGGATCACGGATGTTGACAGACGTTTGGCCAACCAGACAGTACTATCAGGTAGTTATTAGGAATTACTGAATAAAAACCTCCTCCCCTCCCCAGTGTTAAATAGGTTCCTGAAGGAAATTTCAGTTTTCCATTTTTGTTTTCCCTCACTTCTTCCTTGTACCCAAGGGATCTCCTTACCCAAGTGGTAGGGCTGAAACCTCTAAATAGCTGACTCTATCGAATGTACAGGAAGTTTAAAATTTGTATATTGTTTTCAAGTTCAACTGGCTGTACACATATTACAAGATACTGGCTTCCAGGCACTCCAATTCTTTACCTGTCTGGATTCAGACTGCCCTAGGGAGAAACAGAAGCTTGTAACAAAGACAGAATTATATAAAGCTTCAGGGAGACTAATGCAGAATAATGCAGACTTCTATGCAGAATAATTAGTAAACATGATAAACCAGCTTTAATTACAGTTCCTAACAGCTGATTCCAAAACTGTATTGTCACTACACCCAAAGAATGTCCAAAGAAAATAGCTTTCTTATTTTCTTTGATAAATGAAATGACCAGCAACTTGATGTGGGTGATATAAATAGTTGATGTGCTCTTTATAGGTTCTTCTGCTAAAATGTCTTTTCTTGAACACTGATCACTGTAATGCCTTTCTCATCTCCCACACACTGACCTTTCAAATAGAGATCTAAATCAATGGCTTTAATTTTTAAGCAATCTTTTCTATTTTTATCTGTTTAACCACTGTTTTCTAAATAATACAGAATAGAAAAATATAATAATTATAGGTTTGAATTTAAACCACAAGGGTCCAAGGCTTTCCCCCTTATTTCACTTACCCTAATTACAAATATTGCTATTCTTTTATTTAAAAAATTTTTTTATTATTGTTATGTTAGTCACCATACATTACATCATTAGTTTTTTATGTAGTGTTCCATGATTCATTGTTTGCGTATAACACCCAGTGCTCCATGCAGAATGTGCCCTCTTTAATACCCATCACCAGGCTAACCCATCCTCCTACCCCCCTCCCCTCTAGAACCCTCAGTTTGTTTTTCAGAGTCCATCATCTCTCATGGTTCATCTCCCCCTCCGATTTCCCCCCTTCATTCTCCCCCACGTGCTATCTTCTTTTTTTAATTTTTTTTAACATATAATGTATTATTCGTTTCAGAGGTACAGATCTGTGATTCAACAGTGTTGCACAATTCACAGCGCTCACCATAGCACATACCCTCCCCAATGTCTATCACCCATCCACCCCATCCCTCCCACCCCAACCCCCACTCCAGCAACCCTCAGTTTGTTTCCTGAGATTAAGAATTCTTCATATCAGTTAGGTCATATGATACATGTCTTTCTCTGATTGACTTATTTCGCTCAGCATAACACCCTCCAGTTCCATCCATGTCGTTGCAAATGGCAAGATTTCATTCCTTTTATGGCTGCATAATATTCCATTGTATCTTCTTTATCCATTCATCTGTCGATGGACATCTTGGCTCTTTCCAGTTTGGCTGTTGTGGACATTGCTGCTATAAACATTGGGGTGCACATACCCCTTCGGATCCCTACATTTGTATCTTTGGGGTAAATACTCGGTAGTAATATTGCTATTCTTTTAAATAAATATGTTTTGCCCAAGACATGTCTCCAGAAGGTACTTCTCCAGAAGGCACTGCAAGTAACCCTAAAAAAGAACTTTCCCTTCTTGTCTCTAAGCTCTCCTGGAGCTATCGCACACAGCACTTGGGTCTCCTTTCACGTCCCAGTAGAGAGATGTGCTATATGAAATTATCACTCTCAGAGAAATGAGGATGGGGCCAGGTATTCCTGGGAGAACCACAGAGCAGAATAGGCATGTGCTGGGTCCAAGTTGCATTCAGAAATTGTGACTTGGACCAGAGAGTGATGGGAAAGAGAAGACCTAACATGACAAATCAGCATTGACTGTTTTACTCTCCAACCTAACACTGGCTATTGGTTATTCTACTCTGGTCCTTTTGGTATTAACTCTAACTATAGTCCTTTGGAACACATAGTCTGCTTTTAGCTCTTCCAAGAATAGAAAAAGATAATAATTTGTATCTACCAGCAGGTGTTGGGGCATTTGCCAGGTGTTTCCCAGAGTGGCCCTCTTTTTTCAAGGTGTAGGAGGGACATGGAGAAGGAGTCAAGGTTGCCCTGTGCCTCACTTCTACAAATCTTTCCCTTCAGAACATCCTTCTGGCTTCCAAGGCATCACTGTTTCTGAAAACGAAGAGCACCTTTTTGAAAGAAAAAAGGGAATGAGACAAACTCTGTTTAGAGTATCTTTTTTGTCTTTCTTTTTCATGGTGTGGCATCTTTAATCTCCATTCATTCATTTAATTGTCCAATCAACATATATCTGGGCATATATCACATGCTCATTCTGTGCAAAGCTCTGTGGACAGAGCCGTGACTGTGGCACATAGGGTCCAGCCTTTACGGAACTGAGTCTCCTTGAAACTTGGCTTCTTTATCTGACACTGTTACAACCTCTTCACAGCCCCTGGAGTGAAGTTAAAGGAGTCAAAAGAACCCTGACATTTGGTAATGGCTTCAACGACCTATTGCTGCTGCCTAACAAACCATCATAAGCTCTGTGCCTGAAAAGGACCACCACCCCTTCTTTGCTCACGATTCTGCAATTTGGGAAGGGCACAGCTGGGTGGTTCTTCTGCCTTCCCATGACGCAGCTGGGGCCAGACATGTGGTCACCTCTAGCTATGAGTTTGGCTGGGGCTGGAACAGCCAAGATGGCAGGCAGCATGATCGCTCATCATTCGGTGGGCCAGCCCAGGCTTTTTTATACTTACTCTTTACAGCCTGGATCCCAAGAAAGAAAAAGTGGAAGCTACAAGGTCAGTGAAAGCCAGGGCTTGGAAGTCCCAGAACATCACTTTCCCTGTACTCTCCTGGCCAAAGGCAGTCACAGGGCCAGCCCAGACCCAAGGGGACAGGAAAGAGACCACACTCCCTAATGGAAGGAGTGTCTGGAATGAGAGGAGCTGTCGGCAGTCATAGGGGGAAACACTCTGTCATAAGCCACCCTTTGGCCACAATAATTCACACCCACACGCCCACACACACAGACTTGTGGAGTACACTCCCTCCTCCCACACTGTCGTTCTGTGTAGCACTGGCTCTAAGGACCAGGATCTAATGGTAGACACTAGGCCCAGGTGTGGTGGAGGCATTTTAGATGCTGCTCCTCTTCCTCTAGAGAAATGTGAGCTGAAAAGACGAGTTACAGACACAACGTACGATGCTGAGACAGGGATAAGTTAACTACAACAGACACTCGTGTTCAAAGCGGGGGAGCGAGAAGGCACAGAGCAGCCACCAGCCCTAGCAGTTCTGAAAGCCAGCTGAGCACTGTCACCCTCACTCTGGGAACCCAGACCGCCCCGCCATTAGGGGCTTGTTCTTCTCCCCAGGAGCTGCTTCCCAAACCACTGTTCCTGGCTCCCTGCTCCGGGGTGCAGACTATGACCTTTGAGGCTTCCTTGTCCATAAGCCACTGCCTGCCCTTTATGGTCCAACAGCTCTCTCAGCCTGGGTCCTGTCCACAGAAAGTTGGGGGCCCGATGGTTTTTTTTTGTTTTGTTTTGTTTTTTACGCTTTGAACTGTCTCTTTCCTCTTTAGTTCAGGCTAGCAGTGGTTTCATCAATAGAGCTGTCTTCAACATTTTGAGGGTTTCCTATGAGTCTTAACAGAGTTTACTTCTTGCCCTCGACAACTCTGCCCACAAAGCAACATCTGTAATTCTTCCAAGAACAAACTTCTGTCTACTTTGGGCCTTGTCGAAGTAGCTGCTGTTGGACTCCCCTGAAGATTCTTCTTAGAAGCCCTTTTGGCTAGATGAGAGGGTCTATGAAACATCTTAATGTGTAGAGGCTTCAACATAGTCTGGATTGGATTTTTACCTCGAGGCCACATTCGAAAGGCAGGCCCCTAAGGCCATTTCTTCCTTTGAGACTGTTGCTGACAACACAGAATCTCCAAGGCCCTATTTCCTCTACATTCTGCTTGAAAACGGAATAGTTCCTTTTTTAACACATCTCTCTCTCTCTCTAGTAACACCATCACACATCACTAAAAGAAGCCAACTGATACTCTGAACGTGCAGCTTGAAACTCCCCTTTGCCAGATCTACAAGTTCATTAGGTACATTTTCTGTCTTCTGTGTTTTACTGCTCACAAGGGATGCCAAACACTTTGCTACTACACAGCACCACTTCTCCAGCCTGCAATACGACTTCCTCACGACCCTCAGAGCCTCCACTGAGAGTCTCCTTCCCAGACCAAGGAGGTACAGCAACTAAATGCAAACGCAGGATCCTGGATTGGATTCTGAAATGGGAAAAGAACATTACCAGAAAAACTGGCAAAGTCCCTACAAGGTCTGTGGTTTATGTCAATTTCCTGGTTTTGATCATTATTCTCTGGCTATGCAATTTATCACTATTTGGGCAGCTGGGTGAAGAACATGCATGAACTCTGTGCCAGTTTTGCAACTTTTGTGTAAGTCTAAAATTGTTTCAAAATAGAAATTTAAAAAAAAATAGTGAATTAAAAAAAAAGAGAGGTTTCTTCTTCACCTCTCCAACCTCTACCCCATGCCTGCTCCCAAAGCTGATGCCACATGTCTTAGATTTTTGTTAAGCCAACATCCAACTCCCAGACATTGATTTCCATTATTTACTATGCATAACACACTACCCAAAAGTGTGGCAACTTGAAACAGTATGGACCATTTTCTTGCTCACCATTCTGCACTATGGACAGAACACAATGGTGACAGCTTGTCTTTCCTTCGTGTACTGTTGGCTGGGGCAGCTTGACTGGGGCTAGGGGACCCGAGATGACTTCGAGCACAGGGCTAGTGGTTCAGGTGGAATGGCTGAAATAGCGAGGGGCTGGGCCTGTCTCCCTCTGGAAGGTCTCATCCTCCAGAGACACGCTGCCTCCATGAGGCCTTCCTCTTCAGCACAGCTGTCAGTGTTCTTTACATGGTGATTATTGTCAAAGAGAGCAAAAACTAAAGTTGCCAAGTCTAGGCCCAGAACTGGAATAGCATCATTTTTGCCTTGTTCTCTTGACCAAAGCAAGTAATGGAGGCTGTCAAGATTCCCGGGAGGGGAAGAGACTCTACCTCTTAGTAGTAAGCACGGAAAAAAATGGAGGAATCGCTGGTGGTCCTCTCCCACCATGACCCCAGCCCACTCCTTTAGAAATGTCTCCTCAAAACAATCTTCCATGGTCAGTTCTTCCTGGAAGCTCTATCATTTTTTTAATAATTTTTTTATTATGTTATGTTAGTCACCATACAGTACATCATTAGTCTTTGATGTAGTGTTCCACGATTCATTGTTTGCATGTAACACCCAGTGCTCCATACAATACGTGCCCTCCTTAATACCCATCACCGGGCTACTCCATCCCCCCACCCCTCTCCCCTCTCGAATGCTCAGTTTGATTCCTGGAGCCCATAGTCTCTCGTGGTTCATCTCCCCCTGATTTCCCCCCATTCATTTAAGAATCATTGCTATCAGGGCGCCTGGGTGGCTCAGTCTGTTAAGCATCTGACTCTTGATTTCAGCTCAGGCTGTGATCTCAGGGTCCTGAGACCCAGCCCTGAGTATGGGCTCCATGCTCATTGGGGAGTCTGCTTGGGATTCTGTCTCTTTCCCCACTTGTGCTTTCTCTCTCAAATAAATAAATCTTAAAAAAAAAAAAAAAAAAGAATCATTGCTATCAGTTGACAATTTGATTAGCAACTATTTTCTTTTTGTTATCTATCTTGTTCCCTAATCCTATAATTTCTTCACTGGCTCTCTCATCCATGTTACATGCATATTTCTACTCCAGGATTAATGCATGCCACAAAATTATCCATGAAAATTCAGTGAAATAAAACAGAAGGGATAATACATATATCTGTGTTTGCATAAACCTATGGAAAATATCCAAGAGAATAAACAAGAGAGAAGATAACACTGCTTATCTCTGACTACAGGATGGGGAGGGAGGGCTTCAGAGGGAGGAGAATTTCTCTTTCCATATCTTTCTGTATGGGTTGAAGGTTCTTTACAATGATCCTTTAGTGTTTTCGTAAGGTAAAAAAGTGATCTTGCCCAATAGAATTAAGTCTAAAAATCAACAAATGCCCATTATCAGAAGAATATCAAATAAACCAGGGAGAGAGCTCAACTCTGATTTCATTCTCAAATAAATGAGCATGCTAAGGGAGTTCTAGCATTTAAGACTGAATGCCTGTTTGGGGTCCACTGCCACAGAAATACTTGAGAATATCTGTCATAAATGGCGTCTAGAGTAGCTGATGTGTGCACCTTACCCTGAGTACCCTCTCTCCCTAGATCAACTGCCTCCCCTAAATCTACTCTGACTCTTTGTGCTATTGAATAACTTTTGCTGCTCAAAGAAAACATAAGGAACACTCATCTGGTGTCATAGTACAACCACGATTCAAGGCAGGGGCAGACTACTTTGGGATCCGGGAGTATAAGAGCTAGGAGAAACCTCAAAAGTCCCTTAGTTCACCAATCCCATTTTACACATGAACCGAAGCCCCAAGGGTTTATATGCCCAGATTACTTAGCTATTCAGTGAGGGACCCTTCATTGCAGCCTGGGAAAATTCCTGTTAGTCCATCGGTGAATAAAGATGGGAAGAAAACCTCATTTTGATAAAAACCCAAACAAGTTAATTAGAGAGAAATTTGGTTACAGATAGCTTTTAAGTTTTCAAGCCTTGAACAGGAGTGAATGAAGGGAACAAGAAGACTGCCTGAGGCCCCTAAATAGAGTCTAGAATAGGGAAAGAGAGGGATAAGTAAACAATACAATTACTGATGCTCACTCTCTTGCCCTGAAGTGGGGCAATTCATTAGACCAGGAGATTAGGGTTCTAAAGATCAAACGTGAAAACACGAATTGCTATGTGTTGCTAATTTGCCTCTCCTCCTCAGTGCTAGGATCATTGGGAGAGTATTTCCCAAGGACGTTCAAGAGGCAGCCCTTATATGTGGCCTGACAAAAAAAAAAAGAAAAGGAAGGGAAGGCCGAACGCCGTCGGGAATAGAGGGAACACTGCCACCTGCTGATGAGCCAGAGACGGTGTAAATGGTGCACGGCATAGTCAACGGGGCATGTCCAGCAGGACGCAACACCACCCAACGGGTCTCTTTGAAGTCTGAACAGGTCATTGCAGAGAGACAGTCGAACTTTGGATTTCACCAGGCCAGTTGGCCCCATAGAAGGGTTAGTTTGCTTCTGGTATGAGAGTAGGAGAGGCTGCATCCCTGCTTGCCTCTCTTCCACGAATATTGTCACCTATTAGTTCTGAACTTTCCCCTAAAACCTAAACCTCAAAATAATAAAATATACTTGGCTGAGACTAGATAAAAGGGATTGGAGAGGAAAGAGCAATACAGAGAAGTTTATTCGAGTGACACGTTCATGTGGTTAAGAATTCCCAGTGGCTCACTAATACACTTCCCCAGATAAAGGTCTTTTTTTTTCCCTTTACTCTTCCCATTTCGTCCTCTTCTATTCTTTTCTCTTAAAGATTTTATTTTATTTTTGAAAGATTTTATTTGAGAGAGAGAGAGACAGAGAGAGAGCAAGCTGGGGGAGGGGCAAGAGGGAGAGGGAGAATCTCAAGCAGACTCTGCACTGAGCGCAGAGCTGATGTGCGGCTCTATCTCATCACCCTGAGATCATGACCTGAGCCGAAATCAAAAGTCAGACGCTTAACCCACTGAGCCACCCAGGCACCCGAAGATTTTATTTTTTTAAGCAATCTCTACACCCAGTATGGTGCTCACACCCACAACCCTGAGATCAAGAGTCGCATGCTCCACTGACTGAGCCAGCCAGGCGCCCCTTCCTCTTCTATTCTTATACAAATACACGTACACTGAAAGGACAATTGAAAGAGAGGACTGGGAAAGGTGCTGATCCTTTGTGTACAGCCTCGGTTTTTCCATGCTGCCATGGACTGAATGTGTGTGCCCCTCCCCGCCCCAAAATCTTAGGTTGAAACTCACCCCCAGGTAATGGTATTAGGAGGTGGGCCTTTGGGAGGTGATTGGGTCGTGAGCGTGGAGCCTTTACGAATGGGACTAGTGCTCTTAGGAAAGAGGCCTGTCAGAGCTCCCGCCCCCTTCCACCACGCCAGGTGAGGTCACCTGTGGAAGACAGCCATCTCTGAATCAGGAAGCTCGCCCTCACCAGACACCAAACCTGATCCTGCAGGCAGGCTGATCTGAGACTTTCAGCTTCTCAAACTGTGGCAAGTAGATTTCCATTGCCTCGAAGCCACCCAGGCTACCGTGTTAGCAGCCCAAACGGACTAACACACCCTCTTCCTTCCATCCTTCTACTCTCCTTTCCCTGCCCTCTTTCTTGCCATTGTCTTTCGTCCTATGCCCATTTTCCTCCTACTCACCTCTACATTTCAAGATTCTCCTTATTGGGGTGCCTGGGTATGGAGACTGCTTAAGATTCTCTCTCTCCCGGGCGCCTGGGTGGCTCAGACGGTTAAGCGTCTGCCTTCGGCTCAGGTCATGATCCCAGGGTCCTGGGATCGAGTCCCGCATCGGGCTCCCTGCTCCTTGGGAGCCTGCTTCTCCCTCTGCTTCTCTCTCTCTCTGTCTCTCATGAATAAATAAATAAAATCTTTAAAAAAAAAAAAAAAAAGATTCTCTCTCTCCCTCTGCCCCCACCCACCCCAACCACACACACTCTCTCTCTCTCAAAAAAAAAAAAAAAAAAAAAATTCTCCATATTAAGATACTGATGCGGCTAGGAGACAGTAGGAAGGGGACATTCGCATCACTGCCCAGTTACATGGCTCCAACCGTACCTCCCATTGTATATTATGCTATTGCTCTGTGCCTTTTGATTTTTCAACCACGTGAATATGGTATCCTTAATTTACATTTAATTTTTTAAACCTAACCTAGTGGGGCCCAGTGGAGAGGGGAGGCACTGTTTAATTTCCATGGTTCCACTTAATGACAAAATAAAGCACTTCTAGATCCTACCCATCATAGCCTTCTTGTTAACGACACCTTAGGATTAGTAAGTTCAAAAGGTACTCTCATTGTGATTTAGGTTTTTCTATCTTATAGCAACCTCAGAAAGAATACCATAGAAAAACCTAATGTTGTCAGATCTAGCTGAGGGAAATTCTATCTTTTCTAAATACAAAAGGTAAACAGTTTTCTTTGGTGGATTTTTGCTAATTCGTTGTACTTAAGTATGTTGCATTTCTTAAAAGATATACAGGTTTGGGTGCCTGGGCGGCTCAATGGGTTGAGCGGCTGCCTTTGGCTCAGGTCATGGTCTCAGGGTTCTGGGATCCAGCCCCACATTGGGCCCCCTGCTCAGCGGGGAGTCTGCTTCTCCCTCTCCCTGTGCCCCTCTCCCGTTTGTGCTCTCTCTCTCTGTCATATAAATAAAATCTTTAAAAATATATATGTGTGTACAGGTTTTACATTTCAGGAAACCCAAGAGGAAAAGGAGATCTGTAAACAAAAGGTCATGATACTTAACAACTAATTTGGGAATATTTCAAATTCTTAACATAAATTTTATGAAGCTGGGGAACTTGGGAGGAGGCAGGAAGTTAGTAGATAGAAACAGTCTATTTTTCTAAGGAGAAAACAAACAAACAAACCCTTATTTTCTTAGCTCTAAAACTTAAGTCTTATCTGAAATTTCTTTCCTGGACATAGTACCTTTGTCTTGGCTGCCTCCCAGGGTGCGGTCCCAGGCCATTGGCTGCTAGAGCTCATAGGGCCACCCTCTTCCTAGGTCACCTGTTGGAGCAAGTGGAAGGGAGGCCTTAATGAAGATCTATCTCATTATTAATGTGTCCTTACAGACTTGCTAACTGTAATATATTTTATTGCTCTATTATTCAGTCTTTATATTTTTTAAGTAACTTGTAACTGTAAAATAGGATTGTCTGCATTTCAAGTCCTATTTATTTTACAATGTTGAGGCATTTGTCCTATTAACTGGGCAAGCTTTCCTTATGATTTGAATTTGGCACATTAAATCTTCTGTTTTTAAAGTAGAATTCTCTGCCTGAGGAGGACCATTACTCTATTTTTGAAATGTATTGTCCCTTTTAACTATATCCAGAAATTTGGAAAACAGAAAGTTTTGCCCAAAGAATAAGCTATATGTTAGTAGCTCACTTACCTTGGCAGCTTACTTGACTTGGGTTTGCTTGGAGACGCTAGGTCAAGCAATCCTGACCTCTAGTTCTTCCAAACTGCACAAAATATTTTTAATAACCTTCTCCTCTAGACATCTGTTTATTTTGCAATGAACAATTAAACGCATTTCTGCTTCAGGGCACAGAACACAAACCAAGTAGAGTGCTGTTTTTGTACCACCTTGGTTGATGGAGACTCATGATGCCCTTTAAAAGAAATAAAGTTATGAATGAAAATACTTTCAGAGGTTGTCCCAAAGCAAATTATAGAAATTAAATGTCTCCTAGTACTCTGGTGGATTACCACTCACTGGCCACCAGTCATTTAAATACAGTGATCATGGGATTTTCCCAAAGTTAGAAAACTATGAATCACATATGGGGATTCTCAGAGGGAAACTCTCCCGAGTCCTTGAGAAGCAGAGCAATGTCCTCAGCAACGTGGGTTTGGGGAAATGGTCACATAGCGTAGGAGACTCTAACAATAGCAATTCTGCTGCTGGGGATAAACCTCAGAGTAGGAGTTTCAAACTGGAGAACGGAGGCACACAGATCGTTTTCAAGGGGATAATTCCAGATCTTTATCTTCCATGTCTGAACTACCTGAGAACTCGTGGAGTCAAGCACCCCTGTGGTTCCTAATCCCTACCTCCCATTCATAGTGGCCCTTTCTCCCTCTTTAGAAGAGAAAGGCACACCTGTCTTCTCTATCTGAATGCTCAAGGATATGTTGCCCCAAAGGGTAAAAACCTGCAAGAAGCTAAAGAGACGATCCGAAATAATATCAACATTGAGAATCTGAATGAGTCTACTGACTAACAAACACTTTGAACATTAGTTTAACATTTCTTGTTTCCTAGGGAACTGAAGGAAGACCTAAGCAAACTGCCCACTGATAAATCATTAAAAATAACACCACTAAGTGATGTGGGGCATACAATGTGGAAAGCTTTCAAATAAATGAGTAACATCACTTACTCAATTTATTCCAACCGTCATCTACTTATTGATGTACGTGAATGATAGTCCTCGGGGTTTATAATATAAAAGCAAAAACTGGGTGTAAACTGATGCTGAACCCGTCTCCTAGAAATAAGTAAAATTCGTTCATGATATACAAACTGATTTCTTAAAGTTCCATTGATATTTTTTATGTTTCAATGTGATCAACATTTAAAAGCATTTAATTGGTCGATTATGAACTAAAAATAATAACTCAATTCAGAAAAATTGTTAACACTTTGGAGTATTATGGTCAAAGAAATTTAATGTAATGTAATTTAAATTTATATATAAAATTTGTTATAGAGAAATATGGTAACGTGATCAATAAAAAACACTCACACATAACAGATATAATGTATGTTACATTCAAATAAAAGCCTGTGACAAGTAGAAAGTTCAAGTCCCAAAAGAAAAAGAAGTGACGTAGAATTTCCCACTGTAAGAGACCTTGTTCATATCATTAATGTGTGATGGATAATGGTGAGTATCAGATCACTATGGTACTTATACACCATTGGATACATTTAAGAATTCCACTTTTATTTTTTGAAAGATTTATTTATTTATTTGAGAGAGCGAGCCAGAGCCGGGGACCAGGGCAGGAGGACAGGGAGAGAAAGTATCAAGCAGATTCCCTGCTGAGCACAGAGCCAGACGCAGGGCTCCATCCCAAGACCCTGAGATCACGACCTGAGCCGAAACCAAGAGTCGGATGCTTAACTGACTGAGCCACCCAGGTGCCCAAAGAATTCTACTTTTAAATGTTAATGTTTCCACTACAAAGAAATTAATTCCTTTGCAACTAAAAGTTATGATAAAAAGTTTGATTCCAATTCTAAAATGTGTAAGGAGGAAAAGTTTTTCCAAATTGTGGGGTAAAATGTTTGAAGACCCCTACTCTACAGAAACTTTCATAGATGTCATACAAACACTTACATAGGGGTGTTCATAGCAATATTATTTGAAATAGCAAGAAGTTAGAACCTAAATGTCCATCAATATGGCTGAATAAAATGTGGTATTTTCATGCAATGGACTATTACATGCCAGGTTAATAGGAATAAATTAGATAAATATATCAACAGGGAAGTATCTCGAGATTTACCAGACTCTAGTGAAATGTGATCCTCAGAATTACAGGGGGTTCATCTTTCTCTCCTTCCTATCCTTCTCACAACAGAAAAACCAGTCGAGGAGGCAGGAGCTCCATAGGCTATGTGACATCATCCAAACCTTGACCCTGGAGCAGAGAACTTTGAATGGGTGTGTAACGTGATCATATCACGGTTATGATCCTGAAGGCACCACAGTTGTCTGATGCATTTTAATGACTAATGCCCTGCCGGGAGTGGAGGGAGGGGGATTAAAAGGGCCAAAGAACCAATTAGAAGGAAAAGAATTTCCTCATCGTCTTTCTGAAATCTCTCTACTTGCCTGGGAAGAAGTAAGGTTATGTGGGGTGGACAGAGGAAATATTAGTGATCTTGCAAATATCAAATGGTGAGATAAGCAGAAAGTGACTCTTAGCAAGAAATTCATTCTAGGCTAATAAAATCCTAGTTCACAAGTTTGTTTCTGTAGGAATGCAAAATCCATAATGCCCACTAATAACAACTAAGTTCCTTGCCAAATTTCATTCCTCTCTTTCTGTTTAGAAAAATCTACTTAAATATTTGAATAGTTTCTCTTTTTTTTTAAGATTTATTTATTTGAGGGTGCCTGGGTGGCTCAGACGGTTAAGCATCTGCCTTCGGCTCAGGTCATGATCCCGGAGTCCTGGGATCGAGTCCCGCATCGGGCTCCCTGCTCCTTGGGAGCCTGCTTCTCCCTCTGCTTCTCTCTCTCTCTCTGTCTCTCATGAATAAATAAATAAAATCTTTAAAAAAAAAAAGATTTATTTATTTGAGAGAGAATGAGAGAGAGAGAGAGAGCACATGAGAGGGGGAGGGTCAGAGGGAGAAGCAGACTCCCTGCTGAGCAGGAAGCCCAATACGGGACTCGATCCCGGACTCCAGGATCATGACCTGAGCCGAAGGCAGTCTCGTAACCAACTGAGCCACCCAGGCGCCCCTGAATAGTTCCAAAAGTAAATCCTATTTTCCAACTGACCATAATATAAAATTAGTGACAACAAAAAATGGGGATAAGAGCAATAATGATACTATCCACCACCATTTATTACTAACATTTGTTGATAACATTTAGAAATGTAGAAGGTCATTAAAGGGCATATATAAGGTCTTGCGAAGACCTCTGGCATGTTTACATTTTCTCTCTTCGGTCTCTGCAAACATGGTTTTATAAGGACACCCTGGAGTAAGTACTTACATATTATATATTATATAAATGATAAAGAATATTTATCGATAACATACACTGTTAAGTGATCTACACAAATACATCTTCTGTCTTTCTTACAACTTGACCCTATCCTCCTCTCTACCCCAAGCATTGACTGAAAAGTCATCCCTCTCTTGTAACATCTGAGGCTTGATGATCATTTCTGCAGCCTTCCACCTTCAGCAATTTGCTCCCAAAGGTTCCCAGTATGCTGCAAGTACTTTCCCAGAAGACCCATCCCATCAGTTTCCTAGACACACCCCCACAGGCACGAACCTCCACGGGGAAGCAGCCTTCGCACCTTCGCCCCTTAGCAAAGCGGAGAAAAGGGAGAAAACGATGTCACTGGATGGCCTGTATTCATTGACCCTCACAGTGTGTGTGTGAAAGGAGGGCGCAGGGTTGTAGCCCTTCGCAGCCCTGGACATAAAATTAAACTGCATTTGCCATTGCTGGCAAATATTTCCAACTTTTCGCCGTACTTAATAATTTCCTGTCATTCCATTCTTCTCCTTGGGGCACGGAACGGAGCATTTCTCCAGTCAGACACTCTTGGTGTTCGTTTAGGCAAACACACTCAACCTGAGTCACTTCTTGTCTTCCTTCTACACCATTCCTCACTGCCTCACCCTGAAAATGGACGTACTTACCCATTTATACTCAGACCATAAATTCCTTGAGCAGCTATTTGGCGTGGAGGTTAAAAGCACAGTTTCCAGAGCCAGACGGTCTGCTTTCAAATTTTGCTCCGCCGCATACCAGTTGTGAGATCTTTGGCAAGCTGGTCCATCTCCCTGCAGGCCAGGGTCATCCAGCATCTAATGGGGACAGTACTAGTTCTAGCAGATGGGGCTGTTCTAAGGGTTAGGTGCGGAGCTATGCAGCACTCAGAACAAGCCTGGCACGTGGTAAACACTGTAGGAGTGTCCACTGTGAGCTGTTACGGAGAGAAGAGAGAGCTTCTGTTCCTTTGCTTTTGCCCAGCTGCCCCCTCCAACACCTTGCACGCTGTCTGCCATTTGGTAAGCTTTCAGTAAATGCTGAATGAGTGGCGAATAATTATCAACACGTGCCAGATAGGAGATGGTAAGGAAACAAGCACTCCCTTCACCCCAGTCCTTCAAGATGTCCCAATAAACAGTACTTTTAAAATAATTTTATGTCAGGGCGCCTGGGTGGCTCAGTCGGTAAGTGTCTGCCTTCGGCTCAGGTCATGGTCCCAGGGTCCTGGGATCGAGCCCCGCATCGGGCTCCTTGCTCTGTGGAAAAGCCTGCTCTCCCTCTCCCGCTCCTCCTGCTTGTGTTCCTCCTCTCGCTGTATCTCTCTCTGTCAAATAAATAAAAATCTTTAAAAAAATAATAATAATAATTTTATGTCTTGGGCACCTGGGTGGCTCAGTTGTTAAGCATCTGCCTTCGGCTCAGGTCATGGTCCCAGGGCCCTGGGATCAAGCCCCGCACAGGGCTCCCTGCTCCACAGGAAGCCTGCTTCTCCCTCTCCCGCTCCCCCTGCTTGTATTCCCTCTCTCGCTGTGTCTCTCTCTGTCAAATAAATAAAATCTTTTAAAAAATAAATAAATAAAAAATAATTTTATGTCTTTTATTGATATATCTTATGTCGTACCTGTGAGGCAGTTAAGAGTTTAAACAAGCAGCATTGGCCACTCTAAAGTCAGGGCCTGGTGATCCAATGGTCCAATCACAGTGACCTGCCACATGCTTGAGGCACAGGCCCAACATTGTGACATGAGGAAGAATGCACACGAACTCCTTCTTCCACCCATTCAAAATTCTCTGTGGGGAGGGTGGGGGGGTGCTGGTTCAGAAGATGCCACCTCCCCCGCGGGCTAGATAGTTTCCTGGATAATGTCTCCTACCAACTAGAACGATGCTAATCCCAGCTGAACTGTGCAAAGAGCAAACCAGCCGGGGCTCCCCAAGAACCCCCCTGATTCACAGCGGTCAGAAGGTACAGTAACAGAACCTAAAGGGCACCTAGACTCTCGAGCTTCAGCCCTGACACCTCCTAGCCCCATCTCAGTCTTCACTTCAGTGAAGCTACTCCCACTTTGCACTGACATTTCTTGAAGGTTAGGGGGGAAAAAAAAAAAAACCCTCTTGTGTAAACCTTTGTCCTTCTCACAATGCCTAGCACAGTTTTTTACCAGACACTCAGTTAAGGATTTATATACTCAATAATTGAAAGATTACGTACTTTTTCAAATACACACTTAAACATACAAATACAACTTATCAGCTGGATATAATATAATCCTTAGGTAATAATATTCATATATTACATGACATTATTATGTCATGTTATATGAACCTTTTCTTTCAATACTTTGGTGTGAGGTATTATCTGGAAAGGCCTTTCTCACTATTTCTATCTTTTGTTTCCCAGAGGGAACATCAACAGAGGAAATGTCCATCTTAGTTAATATTCTGTGCTCTGAAGGGGGTGGGAGTGGGGAGTGGAGCCTATGATACTGTTTTAATTACAAATCAAACACAGTAATATACCTTACCTTTTCCTCAGCTGCAGCATAAGTAACCAAAATGCCCAGAATGTGGACTCATAATTTTATTCAAGAGGCTAACTCTTCTCTTTCAAACAGGTTCTGGTGAAATTATTTGTTTCTAATACTGCTCTTTTGATTTTCTCTAAGATGGAAGTGGCCAAATCACAAGTGAGGTTTAGTTTCACAAATTATACATATTAATTCTGGAACAATGTAATGGTTTAATAAAACTCTAGTGGGGGTGGGCTGCAGCATTCTTATTCTAGAATAAGTAATGAGCTTTTATTTTCAAGGGAACCCTAGCAGAGTGAAAGCCATGCCTTCTTGCCAACATGGGCAGAACTAAAGCTCGGTCTTAGGGAACAGGACAATACGGTGGAATAGGAATGGGGGTGGAGAGAGCATGCAAAGAAGAGATGAGAGGCGGAGGAAGGAAAGGCATTACCCTCGAGGATCAGTGGTTCCTTTAGAGCCTGCTCTACAGATTAACACAAGTTCATAGAGGTAAAAGCTTGTGCAAAGGGGAAAAAGAAAAGGGAACAGGTGAGATGGAAAAGATTAGTGTGAGAAAAAAATGGAAAAGAAAGTCCATCTGGTGGAGAGCAATAGAGCATGACCTGAAACTGCCTTAGGTACCAAAGCTCACTTCTAGAGTCTTCGGCTCACTTGAGACAATAACCTAGTTCCAGCCTCATTCCACTCCAATTATGAGGACTTGTCCTTCATTGTTGATGGTCAAGAATGACTAGGGTTCTGTTTATTTTCATATATGAATTTATTCAAAACTATTACCTGCCAATGACAAGCCTTTATCAAGTGAGCGAAGCAGGGTTCCGTAGCTCCTTTATCTTCCTTCTACTCAATTACGTTTATTCAGCACTACTCTCATTTCTGGTATTTTACCCTGCTGTATGTGAAAGAAATGGACTGTGGGCTTCTCACCATATGCACTTCGAAATAAGCTTCTTAAAGACACAAAATAAATAAATAAAAATAATTGGTCCAAAAAGGACCTGGGCCGTTTAGCTTTGAGGTTATTGACAGTGAAACACGGAGCAAATTGAGTCAAGGGGACCAGGACCCAAACAATCAAGCAGCAAATTAATTCAAAACATTGACATATCAAAAAATATACATATTTGAGACATTATAACTAGACAATAAAAAGCATTAAAGCTACCAGTCTAGTTTTAGGGGATTGTTTCTTTTTCTGTCTGGAAATTCAGTTCAGTAAAAATTAATAAACCTTGCAGAAAATATGCTCAGTGGAACTACGCAGAACTATGTGGAAAGGGGCGCCTGAGTGGCTCAGTCGTTAAGCGTCTGCCTTCGGCTCAGGTCATGATCACAAGGTCCTGGGATCGAGCCCGCATCGGGCTCCCTGCTCGGTGGGGGGCCTGTTTCTCCCCTCTCCCACTCCCCCTGCTTGTGTTCCCTCTCTCGCTGTGTCTCTCTCTGTCAAATAAATAAATAAAATCTTTAAAAAAAAAAAAAAAGAACTATGTGGAAAAGCTGTGGCTGAATTGGGAAGAGTGACACGATATGTAGGGCCATGATTTTTTTTCATGAATATTTTGGCAACCGTCTTAAGTGAGGCTGGATGGCCATAACAAAGTACCTTAGACTGAAAGGCTTACACAAGAGAAATTTAGTTTCTTACAGTTCTGGAGGCTGTGAAATCCAGTATCAGGGGAGTGGCCAGTTCAGCTCCTGGTTTGCAGATGGCACACATGGCAGGGAGTGGGGGAGGAAGAGAGAGAGCACAAGAGCAAGCGCCCTCTGGTGTCCCTTTTTCATAAAGACCCTAATCCCATCATAAGGGCCCCATCTCTATGACCTCATCTAATCTTAATTACCTCCCAAAGGCCCTATCTCTCATTGCCATCATATTGGGGGTTAGGGCTTCAACATATGAATTTTGGAGGGACATTAACATTCAGTCCATAACAGCAAATAAAATATGTTATTCCAGTTCTAGGTAAAAGGAGTAAGCACACTCTACCGTGCTTTTCTCACTGAATGTACCTATGAGACCTGGATGGAACACATGGAACAACTCTTTGAAGCCTATAAATAGTAGCAGGTGAACTAGGAAAGAAGACCAGAACTCAAAGCACCACTAAATCAGCAGTGAGTTGTTTGTTTGTTTTTTTTTTTAAGATTTTATTTATTTAAGAGAGAGAGAGAGCACGCAGGAGCAGGGGGAGGGGAAGAGGGAGAGGGAGAAGCAGACTCCGATGAGTGAGGAGCCCAACATGGGGCCCTATCCCAGGACCCCGGGATCATGACCCAAGCCAAAGGCAGATGCTTCACTGCCTGAGCCACCCAGGTGCTCCCAGCAGTGAGTTTCCTGCTTTGTTTTTTCCCCTATCAGAATCCCCTGGTCACTAGATGTAAGGCAGCCTGAAACTCGGAATGGGTGCCAGGACTCAGAGAAAGCTCTTGAAAAAGCTTTCCAGTCCTGTTCTGGCTCAAGGATCAGGAAAAGCAATTCCTAATGTTCAGAGAGTGTCCAGGAAATCTGCCACTTTTTCCTGTTCTTTTCTCTGTTCTCTCGGACCCCAGGCCCCAGGAAATCCTGCTGCCCCAGCAGTAGTAATGACTACCATGGCAGTGGGGGCCCACAGGCACCAAAATCTCTGAGGGAGGGAAACCTTCCTCTGTGGAGAAGCTGTGGTCCCAGAAGTGTGGGCAAAATCACAGTTGTTTTCTCTCTGTCCTTCTATTGCTTGGTCCCAGGCATGGCACAGTCTCAGGAAGTAGGCAGCGGAACAGGATAACTAAAGCACTAGCTTTCTGGTGATGGCAGTAAAAGAGGAAGTCCAGGGAGCCAGGAAGGATCAGAGATCATGGAGAAAGAGAAACTCAGGAAAGTAAGAGATAAAGTTGATTATAAACTCCTAAGCTCCCCCTCAAGCCAGAGCTGAGCCTAAACTGTACCAAAGACTCTGGGCCCCGGGGGGGGCCAGGGTGGCTCAGTCGCTAAGCGGCTACCTTCAGCTCAGGTCGTGATCCCAGGGTCCTGGGATCGAGCCCCGCATCGGGCTCCCTGCTCAGCGGGAAGCCTGCTTCTCCCTCTCCCACTCCCCCTGCTTGTGTTCCCTCTCTCGCTGTGTCTCTCTCTGTCAGATAAATAAATAAAATCTTTAAAAAATAAAAACAGACTCTGAGACCGAACTAAAGGATGGGCCACCACACATGTCCCAGACTAATCACTGAGTAGTGGCACACATAGAAGATAGATCCAAATAGTACTACAAATGTTTTGAAAACAGAATAGACATTGAAACCACAACCCACAGAATACTGGTTAGAATTTGTAGCTTGAACGCAACTACCTCTATTGCCTGGTAGAACAAAAATATCAATATCCTGCATAGGATTTCAACAAAACCCAGAGTCTTATAATATTCTA